GATGCTTGCACGGGCATGGCGCCCACTGACACTGCGGCTCAGGCTACTCTGAAACAGTGAGCTGAAAGAATTGCGTTGAGTGACACCAACGGGGCCGGAAATTAACCAGGGAAACTGCAAACAGGGGGGAGATAACATCAGTCGCTACCATCATCAGGCTGATCATAGATTATGTCCATCACGGTCATGTACGATGTAGCTCAGAATCCCCTCTTTTATTCCCAATCGAACATGGTTGAACTCGCGGTCACGTGCTCCTGCGTACACCAGTCACCTGGTCACCGTGCCTGCAGGGTACAACTTACTAGCCTGTTTGACCTTTTTTGGGTGCAGTCCTGTCACTCGAGTTGAACCAGGGAGTCGTAAAATACCATATGGTATTTTACGACTCCCTGAGTTGAACCTTGGTGTGAAAGTTGTCGCCTGCTGGCGTGGTGACCAGGTGATTTGGGCACCCAGGAGCACGTGACTGCTTGGTCAACCATGTTCGATTGGGAATAAAGGAGGAACGCTGCATCGCAGCCTTTTCGGACCAAAACCAGTCGACTCAGCGTCCAAAAGACTACAACATATGGGCCAATCGCGGTCATCCGTGCTTTTATAAGAACGAAATGGCGCTTTTAGTGACATTTTGCATACAAATCCCCATCTAGTAGGGCGCAGTCACCCAGTTTCGGTGGAAGTGCGCGAGTTCGATTGGGATTCAAGTAGGAAGGGAGCGTCTCAGCTTTCTCGGACCAAGACCATTCGACTCAGCACCCCGAAGACTACACTGGTGAAATTTTAATTTTTGCCTTAACTTCCCCTTTAAAAGTTATGGCTTCCAGTCCCACCGAGCCATCAAAACAAATGTGGTACAAAGGCATTTTCCTGACACAGGATAAATGAATAAGCTAGCCGACGTTATACAAGTAGTTCGAAGTAGTGAAGGACGATTCAGACATTAGACATGGTTAGCATTTTTACCGTTCACCCTATTTTCGACGGTCGGCCTGTACCGTTTTTTGTGTCTGTACTGTAGACATGGCATTTTACCGTTCACGCAGGAGTGAGGCTCGAGGACTCAGAAGCCGAAGTGCTATTACAAGTAGACATGGTTAGGCCGATTCCACACTGCACTACGCCGAAAGTGGCTTTGCCTTGAAGGCATAAAGTGGCTTATAAAGTGAAGCTGCATTCACACCTACAAGTGTCGATCACGGGACTTTGCTTTGAAGGTTGACTGTGAGGCTTTCCTGTGCTTGATCTAGCAACGGCGGTAGTCATGGTAGTGGAGACGCTCTTTGTTGGGCCAAATCCTCGAATATCACCCATTTTCGCGTGCCCAATCTTGAAATTTGACCACGCTAGCGCGCGCTGTGTAGGCGGATTCCACGGATCATAGGTCGAATATTTGTCAACCTCCCCAACAGGCATTCCGGTGGCAGTTTTCGTTGTGTATGTCTCGTACAGTCCTTTCGCCTTCGTTTTCATGTTGTCGATTTTGGAATGGACGATCGACGCAGTATATTGCCTCCTCCCGGAGCTGTTCAGCAAACAAATTCAGCTTGATGGCGATCTCCTCCGGCGTAGCTCCTGCGAACTGTACCGGCCGGAGGTCGCCTCAAATATCCGCTCCAAAGCTCGATCAGCTTGCCCTCAAGCTCCTGGCTAAACATGACCCTAGGCATTGTTGACAGCTCACAACTCACCACAACTGAAAGATACGACAGGGAACACATTCGGAAAAAAAATCGAAAGGCTGAAGAAAAGTCAGAAAAGTGTCCTGAAAAGGAAAAAGTTGCCTTGAAAGAGGGTGCTGGTGTTGCTTTGTAGACAACAAGCACTTTTCACTTTCGCGCGTTTCTCAAAGTGATCGCCATGGCAACTTGCCTGAAAAGTGCCTGAAAAATGGCTTTTTAAGGCAGGATTTGGTGTAGTGTGGAATCGGCCTAGATCCATGGTATTTTTGTACATGACTGTAGTATTCATCGTATACCATGTATACCGCGTAGAGACTCCTTTCTTTTGTAGCTAACCGCAAAAGACCTGTGCCTGACGTCAAACATGTCTATGCATGTCTGGACTGAGGAAAATATTAAAATGATTGCCACCCAAGTGCGGAAGTGAAAATTTGCAATGGGACGTAAAATACCCGTCGAGTGCCGTAACTCCACTATTCGACCTAAGATCGACTTCAGATGTGTTGGAGCCGACAGCTGAGAACTTTCTAATGCGAATAGACCTTTCGATTACTCAATTCCGTTCAGGGAAAGCCGAGTTACGAAATATTTGAGTGTTTGCAGAATGCACTTCATAGCGGATGCAAAAAGGTGGTTTCCGGGCTCCAAGAAAACCAAGCGCACGCGCCTGGGGGAGCAAGGTGAGAAATTCTGAGGGGAATCATAGCGCACGATCATGCATGCCGTATCTACATGTACATGTAGCTCACGGTTTCGATGTTCTCCAAGGTGAACAGCCTCTGGTTGATAGAACAATGTAGGTAAGGGAAGTCGGCAAAACAGATCCGTAACTTCGGGAAAAGGATACTGTTAGCGTTACATCTCGCCAGCTGAGCTCAGAGTTACTGGCCGAAGTCTACAACGCATTTCTAACCAGAAAGAGTGCTCGAGGCGAGGGAGCGGAATAGTATTTCAGAATCATAGATCAACAAACTCAACACAACAGCTGCAGTACTCGCAGGCTTACAAGCAGGGAGTCGTATAGACCCGGGTCTATACGACTCCCTGCTTACAAGTACCGGTAATGTAGTTACTACAGTCCATTTCAAAACTAGTCTAGACGCGTACCTAGGCAAAAACCGTTATGCCAGCATCTATACCACATAAAATCTGTGATCACTTTGTGCATAAATTTTTCCAAATTGGGCGTCTGTTATCCAATCCTTTAGAAACTATATGAGAGTAATTGTGGAGCGATCCTGAGGAATATTCCGAAAACTATTCTCAAAAAGTTCCAGCCAAATTTGAAATATTTCAAAAACCCTACGCGTCTATAGTTTTGAAATGCACTGTAGTTACTAGTTACCAGGGAGTACAATCATGTAGTAAAATACATTTTTACTACTCCCTAGGCCCTGCTAGTTACAGTCACTAGTAACTAGCCATGCATAGTAACCATGGTAACTGCAACATCTAGGCGTAGCTGCTGCTAGTGCTAGTCACCTTGGTCACTGGTCACCTGGTCACGGAAATCCTACGCGACACAGACTACTGACTGTAAATCAACAAATTTTGGCCGGTGAGAAACTTTGGCCGATCTCGAAATGAAACTTTTGGCCGTCATTTAACTTTGGCCGATTTGGGTTTTCAAAAAAGAAATCGATTGGTATTTGTTGCCCTCACATGCAGCCATGGCTCAATAATGCATCATTTGCCTCTATGACAAATTTTGGCCGGCGATTTACTTTGGCCGGTTGGTACCCAGCGGCGAAATCAGCGAAATTAAATCGCCGGCGAAAATTAGTTGATTTACAGTACGTAGACTGTGACTCTTTGTGAGTGTGATCGTGATCGTGAGTGTGACATGTCACATGTGACTCGATCGAGTCTGTGTAGATATATCTACCAATGCATGGTGATTGGCGTAGATCTACGCGTATACGTGTGAGACTGACAGATCATGATAATTATTATTATCACAATATCAGTGCAACTCTGAGTCTGACTCTGTTTGCCAGTGCAGTGCAGTATGACCGCGAAGCGTAGTACCATAGCATAGCCATAGCGGCATAGGAAAGCTGAACGTCATCGAGTCACATCGACATCGAACGATGATTCGGCCGCGGCCGGGGTCATGACACAGACACAGCGTGAACCGGCCGGCCCGGCATACACGTAAGTCGTTTTTATTTTTCACATACTGCCATTACTGGTAATCATTCTACAAGAACAATGACTTCCGGCAGTTCTCGAGTGGATGGCCGCGCTAGTCAGGTTGGTGGTTACATGTAAAGCCTAAACAGGCTAAAGCCAGTAGATCTACCATGATCTACAGACTTAGTCAGTGCCTGTGGTTTAGACCGTTTAGTTTAGGTAGATAATAAGATGGCGTAAACATGGTGAAGATCGACAACTGCTAACGCGTAATGCCACTTGGGATGAAAAGACAAGTACATCATGTACCGCGCATGTACTGATGATGGAGCTGTGTTGGAAGCAGGGAGTAGATCTACTACGAGTCCGACTCCCTAGTTAGAAGCTTCGCAAGTCCGGCACACTACGCGTATACGGAGTACAGTGGCGGTTCAATGTTTCAGCGACCATGTACTTGCTAGCACGCCAGTGGCCGAAGAGTATTCGCCCTCAAATCAGTCAAAGATGGAAGATGCATACCGGTCACGAGTTGTGTGCTATGTTCTCACCACAGACTCAGTCAGTGGCTGTACAGTGACTACCTCCACACGCCGCAGGGTTACCAGTGATGTAAGAAGGCAAGGCCTGCCCGGATGTCCCTAGAAATAATACTAATACCGCTACTTCTACCTAGCAAGCCGCGCATGGCGGTGCCATTTGTGGTGAGGAGCTAGATTTCAGGCAATCACTATGCTTGGTGCTATGTAGCTTTCCTCGCGTTGTGCTATACAGCTCTATTGAGTATTGTGACGCTGTTCTTTGGTCCCCCACCACAGTGCCATGTTGGCTGCGTTCAGCCTCAGTCTGGAATGCTAGACCGGCTGCGCCCCTTGGTCCATGTCCATGGTCACTGGCCCAATTCCAAGGAAATGAAATCTCAGTAGAAAGCCTGAGATGAGAACAGAGTGAGAGCAGCTGCATTGATCCCAAGCAAGCACATGGGCTGGCTGGCCATGGTGCCAGCTGCAGTGACTTCCTTTGTGCCCAAGCTATGCCCCTGATAACACTACAGTACATTGTACTCAGGAGTGTGTAGTGGAGCCAACACAGTCTTCTGTGAGCTAACAAGTTCAAACGACGCCAGGCTCTCTCATTCTCTCCCACTCTCTCCTACTCTATCTCTCTCTCTCCTCTCTCTCTCTCTCCCCTCCCCCCCCCCCCCCGTCTCCCTAATATGGAGCCGAAAAATGCACCAGAAGCAACACTAGCTTCCATTGACATCAGTAATCAGCGCCTGTTCGAACTACCTGATGGTGTGTGGCGAGGCAAACACTGCATGCCCGTGGAGAGATTCCTGGCCGCCTACAACTACTTCTCATATCTCCCACCACAGCTACTATGGAACATGCCACTGCTTAGAGTGCTGGATCTGCGACATAACTGCTTTGTCTACCTTCCTGATGGCCTACATCATCTGGCAAGCCTGCAGCAACTTCGCCTCAGCAGTAACAAGCTGAAAGCACTGCACACAGCATGTGATCAGCCTGGACCCACGGCTGCACAAAGTGGTACTGGGAAACAACAGCAGACTGGTACAAGCAGCAGTGTTCCTCAGCTATCTCAGCTAAGACTGCTTACAACCCTAAGCATTGGGCACAATTTTGTCAAGCCAGAGCAGCTCAGCAGGATCAACAACATGAGAAGTCTGGAAGATGTTGATGCCACCAACAATCGCCTAAAAGATCTGCCGCGTGCTTTCCTTGCAAACTGCAGGCGCCTTCGTCGCATTGCTATCGGTGGCAATCCCATTGGACGAATCCCCAGAACATTGCTGGTGAACATTCTTCGTGGAGTTGTGGCAGAGTTGTCTTTCCCAGGCATGCGGCTGACATGGCTGCCAGAGGAATTGGGTGAGCTGAGTACACTCCGCGAGTTTGATGTCAGTGGAAATTTGCTAACATGTTTGCCATCCACCATGGTTAAACTTTCCAATCTTGAAAGTCTCTACCTCGACAACAACAGCTTTGCACATGCTCCGGAGATCTTGTATCATCTGAGGTCCTTACAGCAGCTCACCATGTCGCACAATCACCTGGAGCACATCTCACACAGGTTTGCCAATCTTAGCTGTTTGGAAGTGCTGGACGTCGACCATTGTCACTTGAGGTGGATCCCCAGCCAAGTGTTCGGCATGAAAAGCTTGCGTCTGATAAAGGCACGTGGAAATCAGCTGTGTGGTCTGCCGGAGCAGCCTGCTCCGCAATCGGTTGAAATTCTTGCAGACCAGCACACATCGCCTACAGAAGACCCGGCATGTCGATCCATCATGGATCCTGACCTATTAGCTGAGTACAATTGCTCTAGCAGTGGGAGCTGTAACTACTGGCACGGCTCAGAAAAGGTACTGCTGGTAGGTGCCAGAGGTGTATGCAGCCGAGTGTTTTCCAGTCTTAGCCTGCACGGTAAGGCAGCTGCTTCAAGTGAGACTGTGGAAGCAACCATGGGAGTCAATGGAGGTCTGAGGCAATGCAAGATCTCTGTACCAGCTTGCAGCTGCAATCCAAACAGCAAGGCAGTGAAAACTATTCACCTCACTCTTCTTCCTCTAGAAAGCTGCGGTCATGGTAGTACCAATCTGTTCCTGAGCTGTCACCCTAACGTTCTACTCTGTATGGATGTTACCGAGCTAAGTGCTTCTGCGGACACATCCGTCTCGGACATCATTGAGATGATATCCTGTGCTGGCAGTCAAGTGAATCTCATGCTGGTTGGACTACACAGTGCCAATGAGGCGCTATCTTCTGTACAGTGCAAATCCTGGCATGACACCATACACAAGGTAACGGATCAAGTGGAAGCAGCCTGGAAAGACCAAGTTCAGACATGGCATGCTATGAGCGACCGCTTCCACCAGTACAGCTCCAACAAGCTAGAGGATCTAGAGGCGGATCTCATTGCTCAAGAGCTGAGCATGTTATGGCAGTGGCCATCCATTGCTGCAGCAACCTCCTCGCAGGAATCAACCGAGATTCTGGAAACTGTCAGCAAGCTGATGGCATCGGATGAGCATGGCTCGCCGTGTCTGCCCATTGCCTGGATGCTCTTAACGGATGCCATCAACAGTGAGTCTCTGATGGTGAAAGCATTGCCACTGGCTGCCGTTATAGAGCTTGCTGAAGGGTTTGGCATGTCAGCCAGCACAGCTACAGATGCTCTGGAGTACCTTCACTACCACGAGCGTAGCGTCTTCTCCAGCCATGTTCTACCCACAGGTCTAGACCAGTGCAGTGCTGATGTGGTCTTCACGGACATTGCATGGATGCTGGCACGGCTGGAGGTGCTTGCAACCCAGCTCAATGAGGACAATTCGCCTACGGCAGCCTCGGAGAGCAACACTGGTGTATATGCACAGTGGCGGCGCTCAGCAGATGTGCACTCGTCATTGTCAGAATTCACGTTGGACGTTGAGGTCAGGAATGCCCTGCTGGCCATTGCTGTACACTTTGGATACGTGAGTGGTGATGTGTTTGCTGTTGCAGCCGTAGCTAGTGCTGCTGCTGCTGCACACACGGACAGCCTCTACGATGAACAGCAGAGTATTGACCAGTTCTGCAGAAGAGTAGTAAAGTCTGCGTACAGTGGTACGAGCATACACGACAGCTGGAAGGACGCTGTTGCCGATGATCAAGATGAGCTTGGCTGCCTGTTTGCAATGGACGAGGTGAATCTGCTGTTCGGTGATTTTCTGGCCCGGTGCAGCCATGCCGCAGATATCACTGTCGCGCTTCCGAACAGCGCTGGTAGTGTCTGCATGCGAATGGCCTCGTTCTGGCAAGTTAAACTGACTCAGTGTAGCCCAACCAGTCCACATAGCAATGGAGCCATGTGTGTACGACTGCAGCTGCGAGCACCACACGGTCTCTGCCAAGCAACATGGCTGCTTTTTGGCTGGCTCGTGACCACTGGTGTCCGTCTGTCTCGCGAGTACCCGACATCGAAACTGGTCTGGCCATGTCCGCACTGTGCAAGGGAAGTACCTGACGGAGCGGAAGCCGGTTTCAAGGAGGTCGCCACGATCGATGTGTTGCAGGTCACTACCAGTGGTCTTGAGCTGCTGAGCTGTCCATCAACAGGAGCACTATTCCACAGGCACTTGCTAGCAGCACCTGATGCTGATGCTGATGGTGAGTAGTAGTGTACAGGCATGCCGGTGTAATACAGCACTTTACCAGCCACCACCCTCAATAAGTTAAACCAGCATCATTTTCAGTAACCCAATATCCTATCCATGCCCACTGCTCCAATACATCAGATTTGTTAGTCCAGTGCCCTCTCTTATCCAGCAGCATTTTCGTAGCACGAATGCCATGATACCGGATTCTAAAGGGACCACTGTAACATCAGGCATGCTGGATGCAGCCGCTGAACCTGCAAAATCAGACCATGATGGTAATCGGGAGTTTGCCGCATTCCGTAGCAGCCGAATAGCACAACTGCTCCAAACGAGAGAGAATCTCACGCCTATTGCTAGTGCCGAGGGTATCATTAGATTCATTTCTGAATCTCTCAAAGCGGCACGCCAGTCTCTTTCCGATAAACCGGAATACGCACACTGTAGAGCGCACCAAAAATCCTTTTTTTTTAAGAGTAACTTTCGCCCTACTACTACTTTCTGAATGTAGTCATGTACATATTTACTTGCGCTGGGTCATTCTGTGCAATGTGACATCATGCCAGGTATGTCCGAGGAACAGCACCTGATGGCTGACAATCTGCGAGCTGTCTTGGCAAGCGCTCACAGGCTGGCCGTGTCTGCTATGTCACAGCACCAGCAGTGCCCATGTGTAGGCCTTGTCAGGTCAGTCAACTCACGGCACGACGGATCAAGCTGCCCTTCAGCGGCAAAGGAAGGTAAGCCGTGACTTGTTTTTGCAATGAATAATATTACTGTGGCATAAAAGTCTGACTCTTCATAAAAATGAATTGCTCCCAGGCGCGTGCGCCGGTGCCCTTCAAAAGGGGGGGGGGTCCGGGGGGCCTCCCCGGGAAATGTTTCAAAAAATGAAGCAAAATCCTGCATTTTGAGCGAAAAAGGGGGGAGGGGTTCCGGGCACCCAGGAACCCATACGGGGCACGCGCCTGGCTCCTGATAATGGTGAGGAAACAGGAGAATTGAAAAAAAAACATTTTTACACACATATCCTTAGAAAGGAATGCATGATCATGATTCACTACTTCATATAATCACATACCAAGCTGAAACCGTTGCGCCCTGCATCACTGCCTGCTGGTTTGCTCTGTTTTTCAGCAGTAGGAGCTGGCTCCGTACAGTGCCACAATGGTCTTGTTGTGAATGCTGGAGACAGCAGCACCATCATTGTGCTGGAAAATGCTACCATTGTAACAGGTAAGACGAAAAGGTTAAACAGGTCTATGGCCTATTTTCATAAGAATAGGGCTTGAAAGTGCTACGTCACAGCATAGCAACAATTTCAAAAATTCAAAAACTGGATCCACTTGGATCCAGTTTTTGTATGGGTCCAAGCACATTTCAAGCAGTCTTACTCACAGCAAGGTGATATAGCCAGTGAAACTGACTGAATTGGCTAATATGGGTGGGGTGACAACTGGTGGCGAAATAAAAGTCACACCTGCATATGACATGAGTGGGTTGCTATGCACCCACATACTGAGGCAATAGCAAAGTCACACCTTAGAGTGGATCCAAAATAGAAATCTGATGTGAACTTACTACTCCCTGGCTGTTTTTGACATCATCACTTTCAAGCCCTATTACCTATGTTAGCAATTCCACCCTGGGTGCATGGACGTGCATTTTTGAACCCATTCTCTATGATCCAGACATAGGCACTTGTCTCCACTCTGACAACACTCTTTCACACAACAAAACTGTGACATTCAAAGCTCTCTCTAGCTACGGTTGGCACTGTACCGGTTGTGCAGGTACTACGTGTATAGTTAGGGCAGAGGGCAAGTGACCAGGTCGGGATGGGTATGAAGTTGAGACTGTACCGGTAGGACTGGGGTTCATTGCTTACGATTATTTTTTAGCTAAACCAGTAAGATGTACACGTATGTTCGATTGTGTGTGTGTGTGTGTGTGTGTGTGTGTGTGTGTGTGCGCGCGCGTGTGTGGTGTGTGTGTGTGCGTTTGTGGTGGTGTGTGTGTTTTCGCATGTGCGTGCGTCCATGTATGTGCATATGTTTCACTGGCTTTCAGATTGCTCAGCCTGTACAGAGCAAGGACTCCTAACAGTCGACGGCCGGACTGATGAAAGCCAACAGGAACATGCCATTACACGGGGCATGCCGGCAATTCAGGATGGCTGGAGAGACCAGCAAACCGCCCGGAGAGGAGATGGTGACCTGATGACAGAGGAGCATGCGATACGAGCAGCCTTGAGAACACTTTCCGATTGCAGTAGAGCTCAGCTGGAGAGAGCAGTTCAATCAATGCAGAGAATACTCAGTGATGGTTACACTGCCGATGATGTGCGTTTAGTGCAGGACCTGGTGAGAGGACAGGCGAGGGATGATGGAGAAGCCAGCGGTTGCACTCCCATGCAAGCAGATGACCAGGAGCTAAGCAGCGCCAACAGGCACATGGTAGTACCACAGGCCACAGATGAAGAGTTGGGTGCAGCTGCTGCTGAGCAACTGACAGGCAGTGGCGGCAGCAACGAACAAGCCGCTGCTGATGGTGTGTGCCCTTCCAACTGCACACAGGCACCTGCACCTGTTCACAACGATCCTTCTATCCGTGGCCTGCCACTGTCTGGCACAAGCCCTCCTCCAGATCGTTTAGTTCACCGAGCTGTGTACAGTGACATCGCTGGCGATCTGCCGGTTCACACAGTAGCGTCAAACAACTTCAGTCCTGGTTTACTGGCAGCAGTTGTGAGAACAGTTTGTCATGAAGTGCTGGCTCAGTTAGAGTAAGGCCTTGCCCTGTCTTCCCTTCGTTACTTCACTATCCCTGGTTAAAAAGAAGGCTAGTCATGAGCACAGCCATTGCCATTCGAACAAGGACATCTATTTTTAATTTCTTTTTCAAGTAATTTTTTTCATATCTTGAGTCTAACTAATCAATGTTTTTTTTAAACATGCTTTAATATACGTAGGCTTATACAAGTGCTACTTTGTAAGCACTGGCAACACATTCAGTTTGCCAAATTTCTCCACTAAATAACACTGACATTCTGGCAATCTCCGAAAATACTGACATAGTATAATTATATTTGATCAGAATGATGCACATAAGACGTGACGTGAAGTAGCATCCTTGAAAGATGTTTCGGTCTGAGTTCTATTGGAAAAAATAACTTCACTTTTCCCGCTGGAAGACTCCTTAGCCTCACTGATGTGAAAGTCCCTTGACGATACCGAAAAACAGTAAGCCACATCAGTCATTGGCAAGGCATGGCTGAGGGCTGAGGGCTGAGGCGTGACATGATGGAAGTTTACAAGCATGTACTGGTACAGTAGTAGTTGAACGCAAACCTCTACTAGGCATTATGAGCCTCGCCGGTGGCAGTATGTCAGGAAGCCATGGGTTCTCTTCCGACACAATGCACCTCCCCCCTTGCGGAAAGGAGCAGGAAGCGCACAGGCCCGCCGGAACCGGTCCGGTTGGTCAAGTTATCACCGGACCAACTTTTGGCCACCAACACGTGTTTGCTACCGTGGAGGGTACGTGTACCCGCCATATCCATATACAGCATGTGTACCCGCCATATCCATATACAGCATGTGTACCCGCCATATCCATATACAGCATGTGTACCCGCCATATCCATATACAGCATGTGTACCCGCCATATCCATATACAGCATGTGTACCCGCCATATCCATATACAGCATGTGTACCCGCCATATCCATATACAGCATGTGTACCCGCCATATCCATATACAGCATGTGTACCCGCCATATCGTACACAGAGCATGAAAGGCCGTGAAACTACCGGACCAATCAAATTCTGCTTCCGGCAGTCCTGAAGTGTACTTGCATGCGCAATTACACTGCACGGGAATCAGATGGCGTCCAAGACGGACTGGAGAAAACGGGAAATGTCCCACGTCGGATGCCAGTCGTCCCACCGTGCGGGGTCTTTTGGTGGTACCATGCCTTCTGTCAAGCCCAGTCTGACCAACACCAGGTGCCTACTGGGTATCATGATTACATACTGGCCATGGTGACCAATCATCAGGCACGTATCGCTCGGCGGTGTTGCCTGAAGCACCCGGTCTAACAACACACGTTTGCTTCTGACGTACAGCGATGCATGGCTGTCCAGCGGTGAGGTGGGAACACACCACACATGTCCGCCGTAGACACCCGCACTGCCCGGTGCACGCTGCCACATCAAGTTCACATACGACTCGTCCAGCAGCTGCTTCCCATTCCACTGGCCCCTCTGAACCAGCAGATGGCCAAGCCTGGCCCAATCACGTGCCGTCGCGTAGCTGAACGAAGAACCCACAAACAGGCCACTCTGATCAGTCTCCATGACGACCGAATTAGCGCCGACGATGCCGAAAAGAGCCTCTTTAGGAAAGCGCCAGTACTCGATGTCGGTGGCAAAGGAACGACGTAAGGCGTGCGAGAGAATGTTAGTCAGCGCTGAGCTGTAATACCAAGCATCAGCGCCACTCTGCGGTGTTGCATGGTCTGGCTTGGCCATCTCTGCAGCCACATAGCTGTGAATGAATTCCACAATGCTAGGCTGGGTAAAGAGCAGAGTGGGTATGGTTGCCGTGTCACTATAATCCTCCCGTATGCTGGCCAGGACGTTGGTCATTTGAATGACCTCACGCAGTGTCGCATTGCCGTACACAACCTGATCCAACGTCATGTGACCCTGGCGTACGCGCATGCCGACGAGAATTGCCGTTAGAGTTTTCGTCATGGACCATCCCAGCAATGGTGTCTGAGCACCAATGCCAGGCAAATGCTCGGAGGACGCATAGCCCTCGGCAACGAGCTTGCCATCGTACAGCACTGCAATGGCGCGTGTGTGTGCCCTTTCATAAGATTCTCGTGTGAACTCAGCACTCACAATATCCTGAATGGTTGCATTGTATTGTACAATATCCTCGCTTTCCAGTGTAACGTGAGGCGCAGCTCCGCTTTGCACACCATCGAGCAAATCATACTGTGCTCGGTGCGTCGATTCATACAACTGCCTGTTAGCGATGACACTGCAGCCGGTGTAGGGCCCGTGGTACACTGCTGATGAGCTGAACACGTTTGGCCATATGGACGTGTTCACGTACTGTCCATCATAGTCCACCTTGTACTGGACGAGTCGCTTGACCAGGCCAGGAAGGTCTTGTTGAAATACCGACTCGGGGTTACGTTCGGACACGAACACACCGCTACAGACGGTCTTGGCAGCGAATCCGCAGGCCACGTTCCCCAGATTCACCACCGTTTCAGAGAGGTACCACGCTAGGACAGTGGGAATGACAACGACGATGGTCAGCCAAATACAGCTTCTTGTCGGCATGGTTGTACCTTCTCACGGGTTTCAGTCCCGCTATCAGTATCAGTTCACTGTCACAGTTCAACAGGACAACCCACTCGACTAGACTGAGCTTGCCCTGGCCAGTGGGCCGGGCTATGGAGTATGGTGATAATGATATTCAACAGGAAACCGCCCCAGAAGATCTGCCCATTCATCTGCAAGTAATACAATTAGAGCTCGGGCTTACACAAAATAATTATCATGTCAGATTGTAAATCTTCGCGAGCAACCTCCTCCCATTGCATGGGCCCACGCCCAGTAGATCTACACCAGGTACACGTCCACGTAGATCAACTCCGTGCTTCTGGAATACTAATGAGTAATGGTAGATCTAGAAGACTACTCGCACTATGTTCCTGTACTTCGCCGTCAGTGGCGTCAGGCCAGGGAGAAAAGACCTTTACTTTACTCTTTAGTTGTCATTCTGAGGTCCAGCATTCTTTGTATCCTTGACCTTGGTGCATCCGTGGTGCTCGTTCTCTTTGTGGTTTCCCAGCCCAACGTTTTGTGGGCAGTTCTGTCGTGATGGCTGAGCTGAGGCCTTGTTGCATGCATGAAAAGCGTGAACAGCGTGCTTATAATACAAGTAGACCCACATGCATGTACTTGTAGTTGGATCGATTGGACTGCACTGTACTGTCGATTTGGTGTGTAGACGTGTGAATGTGGTTAGCATCGGATCGCCACTAACTAGCGGCTTGTGAAATCGATCATGTCACAACAGGCTGAAGCGATGACGATGCGCAAAAACACCACGTATGGTAGCGGCCAGACTCAGTGTTTGCACCTTCGGCAGGTCAGGTGGCTTCGGCTTGTCTCGCAAGAGGAACAAAGTCATATACACCAGCCCACCATCCCTTTAGAAGATCTGGTGTATGCTCCTCTCCGGAGTTCCGTGTGGCCAGCGGCTAGGGTCAGTACAGTGCCTTCGCATATGTCGTTATGACCCTACAGCACACGTATTATGGCTTGGGTGGAACTGCTACTGTCTCTTGAAGTCTTCCCAAACTCATTGTTTACGACCGTGGCATGCTGTGGCTCCTCCGCTCATCCTCATACACAGACTTAGCATTCTTTCTCTCCATTCTCTAGGACAGGCATTAGCGAATTTGACGTGTCACCTGCCAAAAACAACCGTCTCCAGCCATTCTTCAGGCTTCGGCGTCCAGCTTGCTTTCAAAATACAGACCGTGAATGCTTTGTATGAGCACGGTGCACGACCCAATGTTTACTAGTGACGTTGAGGGCGTTCTCTTTATGGCCGTGGATAGATTCGTGCTATCCGTGCTCGCTGCCAGCGGCATGCAACTGCCAAGGCAGCTAGGCCCCTGGCACTTTCAAACAAGATTCTCGTTTTGCACTTGCAACCAGATATCTCTTCGGAATCACGTTGGAACTTGGGGAAGAACTAAATTTGGTTTGCTTGAAAGGCCGCAAACTGCCGAAGGCTCGCTACCTGGAACGCTCTGAGTGCCGTCCTTGCTCGAGAAGCGATCATTACCTGCCTCTGATAGTAGAAGTGCTACATAACAGTACAGTCATTGGTGATGCGTGTGTTACTGTAGAGACCTCAGGTCCTGTAGAGTAGACTGTGTAGTCTCTACCTGGCATCATAATTATCTTCCGCTAGTACTTTGACCCTGGGCGGCATTTCATAGAGAACTCCGGGGTAGCGCAAGCGCGCAAAACTGGCCTGGGTATTCCCAGGAGCGAGCCAGAACCTAAAGAGTCGACCATGGTCGACGGACGATAATTGAATCGTTTTATCAGTGAATTTGATCACTTCTTCTAGGCACCGAGCGACAGTAGGAGGCGGAGAGTTACGCAAAACCAGTAGCTGGGTATTGTACCCCTCCACGTTTTGTGGTTGTGGAGGTACAGCGCTTGCGGACGCTAGCCGAGCATTCCTGTGAATTTCCGGCAGAATGGCCGAAGGAGAAAGGCCCTCGTCGGGGCTGTGCAGCTCGTGTAGCGTAGCGAAATTCCCGCAGCTGCAGTCTGCTCGAAAAGGTCATGTCCAGTGCCTGATGGCTAGCCTGGAGCGTGCTGGCTTGGTGGACAAGAAGGGCAGATACGAGGCAATGGATGTTGATGAGTATGGCGCTACGGCGCTGCATCACTGCTGCCGTCACGATCAGGCTCAGTGCTTGAGCGTCATTGTCAAGCTAGCGCACGTCAGGGAGTGCGTGAAGGCCAGGAACGGAGCGACGGCCTTGCACGATGCAGCAGCCACCGGTTCACTGCGCTGTCTCAACTACCTGCTGAAGCACACGGAGCACAGCATCACCATTGGTGATCGCTCGGGCAGCACACCGCTCCACTGGGCAGTGCAAGCAAAACAAGACGATGCTGTGACGGCACTGCTCCAGTCCGAGGGTGCAACATGCACTGTCAAAACCAAACTGGGCGTCACACCACTGCACATGGCCGGTGCGAAAAACCAAGTGGGTATTCTCCGACAGCTGGTGAACTTCTGCCTGGCTCACGGCGAGGATAACGTCATCAATAGTCAAGCGAAAAGCGGCGCGACGCCAGCATACTTTGCGGCTCAGGAAGGCAATCTGGACTGCCTGCGTTACCTGGTTGAGGTCGGGCGTGCGGACCTGTCCATCCGCGCCAAGGACAAGATGATGTGCCTGCACGCAGCCGCACAGCACGGCCATCTGGCCTGCATGCAGTGGATCGTGGAGCGCTGTGGTGCGCAGTGTGCCAACGAGAGAGGCCCGGACAACGCCACCATCGCTCACTTGACGGCCTCGCAAGGTAACCAGGGTGTTATTCTTTGCACACAGTTCACAATAATATCATTATTGTGTGATTCTTTAGCACATTATGCTAAAGAATCTTTTTGTTTGTTTGCTGATGCCGAGAGTAGTTTTTTTTACGGCATACCGGTGAGTCGTGGGTGGTACTGTTGCCAATCCATGCCTATGCTTTGACCTACTAGTACATATACACGTACCACAACAGAGGGAAACACGCATACCTCATTGCTGACTGTTGCTGGGACACACCACTCATCCCACTTATCAGTGCTTTCTCTCTTCCCCGGCCCTGTGTGCATAGGTAACTGGGAGTGTCTGGAGTGGATCATCGAGCAGTCGGTACTCAATGGAAAAGAGCGCGATCATTTTGGAGGCACACCGCTGCACGATGCAGCTGACAACAATCACTTGGAGTAAGCTGTCTTGGCTGTCTTGGATATCTGGATAATGTACTCGTATGTATGTGTATGCTTGAAGCAGTAATAGCTCTTTATGGAACCACAGAGCAGTGAGAAATGTCGGAGAGAGTTTCGCTTTTATAAAGTTTTATTGAAGTCTAGGTACCGGATACACGAAAATAGACTGTATGAAGATGTGTTTTACTCGACAGTCGCATGTGCATATCCTGGGGCATTTCTCAGGGGGGAGAGGAGAGGGGGGGGGGGGATACTTTTCAAGTGCGAAGTTCCAACATACGGTTTGTGGGGGTAGGCTTCCGTTGGCTCGTTTGGGGCAATTTTTGGGGTATACATCAACTGCCGATGATAACGTTTCATTGCATACATACCGGTACTGTACTTCAAAGTCCGGCGTTGCTCAGTGAAATCCAGTCGCGTCACTCGAGTGCACGCCGGGCGTTGCGCATCCCTAGGCCTGCGAACGCTGGGTTGCGGAATGATGCCAGGCACTGTAGTCACAGACACCTTCAGGGGTGTCGGAAGGTATTTTAGTGTGGTACAGTCAGCCATCTGAAGTACAGTTTGCTCGTGGAGGAGGGGTGGTTGAGCTGAACATTTTGGGAAATTAGAGCCCAGATCAGTGTATTTTATTGATTCACAGGGTGCCTGGGGGCAAAAAAGTGGTACGGTCAATACCGTAGTGACCGTACCGTGTCCAACGCCCCTGCGTGACCTTGGAGCTGAGCACATGTACTTCTAAAGGCCCTATCATCCTATGTATTGTCAGAAATCATTGATGATCAACAACCAACAGTGTTCAGATTATGATCAGCTATTGCTGCTGCTGTCGTCATCGTCGTCGGTGACGTTTATTTTTGAAAAGCAAGGCAAACGGTGTATGTACGCCCCACTGATATGAGTAAGCAGGACAACGGGAAAGAGGAGAGAGGATTAAAAAGAAATGAAAATAGAGGCATGAATGAGAGAAGGGAACAAAGATAGTGGAACTGGAAAGAGATCTACGTTGTGATGGAGTTAACGTTTTATGTGATAAAGCGCTTATAGGTAGACATTTTGTCAAAATATAGTACAGTATATACAGGGGCGTGTGAAGGTATTCAATATTTGTGCGGCCATGAAGAGGTGCGGGGATTGAGCCCAAATAGCCCAAGCTTCATTGCTTCGAAATCACAAGATATAGTTATTGGTGAGGCTCTGCCGGCATCCGCCGCACCTGTTCCGACACTCCCTATCATTCCCTGTCCTGGCTACGGTCATGCACTGTGTCTCATTCTCATACATGTACATGTGCAGCATGATCATGCCAATCATGGTGGCAGTGTCCCGTTTCGTGTTTGTGCTTGAATGCAGATGTGTGAAAGGCCTAGTTGAACATGGTGTGCTGATGATAGCAACTGACAATGACAACCACACCGCACTAGACCTGGCTAGAACAGCTGGGCACACTGAAGTGATCGACTTTCTTGAGCAACACCTGGAGGTGCTGAAAGAGCAGGAAAGAGAGGTCAGTGACTAATCTATGATCACTGAGGCTCCGTCCGTGTTTGATAATTACGCAAGCAAGAGCTCCGTGTTTTGATAATTACGCAAGCAAGAGCTCCGTGTTTTGATAATTACGCAAGCAAGAGCTCCGTGTTTTGATAATTAGGCCACACCAAGTTAATTCTATGTTTCGCGTCGGATATTTTCTGGAAAAGGCACGCGGGCGGGCAGAAAAAAAACAAAAACAGAAGAAAAAACTAAACTCCATTCTATGTGTACTGAGCCATGTTGCACACAGAATACCACTACCAAACTGTCAGTTCTATCCAAAACGACAAGTCGTCACAGGACAGCTGGCAGACTGGGCTGGAGCGATACAGAGATTTCATGGATGGCTCCTCCTGCATTTTGATTTGAGTCGAGTGCGATCCCGCTCCATCACAACTGTGGAAAATCTCGAAGTCCTTGACACCTGGAATCTCTGCTCGCTTGGTGAGCAGGCCCTAGGCCTACCGCACGGCTTGGAAAAATAGAAATTTTAATCTCTCGCACCTTCTACGTACCATCGCCTGGAATGCAAGATTATCGAGAAGCTAATAAACTCTGATCTGCCATACTGGCTAGAGAATGTTCGTCAGAACAGCCATTGATTGGCTCGTCTAGGTTCTTTTTTTCTTGTCAAGGATTTGAAAAGGTACGCGGGCGGGTGACGCGAAACATAGAAATAACTTGGTGTGGCCTTACGGAACTTGCAAGAGTACTGAAACCAGAGTGTGAAACACTGCATTTGGGTTCTGGACAACGGATTTCGTCATTCTGTCATTTTGATGGAGGCCGTGATCCATGACTCAACTGTTGCGCTGCACATATGATCGATGGCATCAGTTTCTATTGATGTCAAAGTGACACTAACTTACCCACCGCTTTCTCCTCAGTCTGTCTTCCAACACACTCAAACCATGATCGGCCAGCTGTTGAAAGACATACAATTGTATACACGTTATGAGCAGGCATAAAAAAAACTTTAAAAAGCGATTTTCTAGACTGGTAGAATGGAAAGGATGTTGCAAATGATCTCTGCTGGGGTGACAACCACCGCATGTCTTGAGGCCGTGATGTCAGGGAAGCCCATCCAGCTCACCGTTCTACTGCAGAAAAAGACTACAGTATGTGTAAACATGATTATGCTATAATTATGAAGGCACTTATCCTCCATGTGGTATCTATGGTGTTCTCCTGCATGTTTATCTATGGTGTTCTCCTCTGGTGCAGCGTCAGGTAGCTGCACTGCGTACCAAGCAACAAGAGGAACGTGAAAAGCGACAGAAGGCCAAGGTGGAAAAGCAACGCAAGAAGGAGCAGGAGAAGCTGCAGAAACTGCAACTCAAGATGCAGCAAGAGGAGGAGAAGCAGCGACAAAGAGAGCTGAAAAGGCAGAAACTAGAAGCACAACTTGCAGCAGCCGCGGATGACGCTGAAGCGGAGCAGGAAAGCGAAAAGGATCCGCCCGACGCTAGCCTTGCCACTGCTGCTGCAACACTGGATGATTCCGGTACGATAACGCTGCCGCCGAAAAACGAGGAGTGGGACAAACTGGAAGATGAAGCACATGCACTAGCTATGGAGCGTGGCCTGGATCAGTCAGGTGAGCATGACAACTCCACGGCAGCCTCCGGAGATGACAAACTGAACACAAGCGGAGCTGTTTCGTTCCATCTCAGCGAGGACGAAAACAAGACGCGGAAGGCAAAGAACAAGAAGGAGCGCAAGGAGAAGTCGAAGACGCTGCGTAGCCTGGGCCGCTGGATAAAGCGCTCCTCGTCGGACAAGAACGATCCTGGCGGTGATCGACGTGGGATAAGCCGCCGAAGCTCCGTGTCCAGTACGGGAACAGATCGGCGATCCAGCACACCGGCATCTCAGGTCAGCCTCGCAACACCTACAAACAGCCGTCCGGAGGTGGCGCCTACATCGGCAGAACCATCCGAAGACAATCTCGACACGGTAAGCACTAAGCGCTGCCTACAGTGGCTGACTGTTGCCTTTCCAGCTGCCCTAATACTATGCGAGCATGCTGTCAACTTCTTCTTTTTTAAGCCTGCTCACCAATCTAGAAGGGTTAGTAGTAGTGAGGGTGTTGCCGTATGCCTACACCATAGCAGCTTGTATACCTATCACAGTATCAGTGCCAGGGGCTGAGCCAGTCTTAGTCTTAGGTGGTGAATGTGCAAGAGCTCAACGCTGCTATGCTGTGCACATGCACATGACACTGTACGTATGCATTTCTTCCAGAGACATTATGGTTTTGCCAAGATGTCGAATTAAACCTGTCTTGTCCTGACCAATGCCTACAAAGTACAATGCAATAAGAATGTCAATGTTTGTATGCTACCTTCACGCTGTGCGCAGGAAGACGAAGACTTCTCCAAACCTCGCGGATACGTGAGGAAACAGAAGAAACATTTCGACACCAGGTAAGCCATAGTGACATGATAGGTGTACTTGCCACATGCTGTCAAGCACCCAGATACAGCTCCAAAAAAACGCTCCCTCCAAAGATGAGTATACGTGCACTCGTGAACTCGTGAACTCGTGAACTGTGTGTACTCCGAGTTTTCATCTACAGTCAGACCTCGTTTATCCGAATCCCTCGCCATCCGGAAGAAAATCACTGGTTACCGATGTGCAGCATGTGTCATGCATACAACATAACCGGACCTCCCGATCCGCATCATCGGTACCGGCAAGAGTACATGAAAACCAGAGTGTGCAGCTCGGATGGGTTGCTGTCACGGCGAAATTCCGTGATTACATCATTTTAGTGATGTAGTGCGTACAAGCAGGATTCAAGCAGGTCTCTTTCTGCACAACTGCAGCTCAGTTGTACGCACTACGCCATTTCCCGCCTCAGATCTGGGCCAAATATGATGTAATCACGGAATTTCGCCGTGACAGACACCCATAGCAGAAAAGGCCCCAAGCTGCACACTCTGCTTTTCATGTACTCTTGGTACCGGTGCATGATTTCGTGTACAAACTGGTTTAAATGTGTGTACAAAAAGCTTCGTCGTATCCGGTTGCACGTACTTGCAGAAGCAAGAATCAGGGAGTTGTACAAGCAAATGAGGTCCTTGACCTGCTGGATGCATGCGGATAGCACTCCGTTGCATGCACTTGTCATTTTTCTCGCTTGTTTTACATACTGTGCATGCTAGTTGTACTGCATAGGACCGTCTACATGTATGTACGATGTCACTGCTTTTGACATGCCACCACATGCACATACAGTATGTGTGTTCGGTTATCCGGTTCCCTCGCCTATCCGGATATTTGTATGCAGGGATGAATTTAACCTGTATCGCATCGCAGTTTGCGATGCAAAATCGATCTACTGCTACTCAAAAGTCACCGTGACTTGCAGAAAACTGCGATACATACAGACTATCCATGCCTAGCCTATGCTGTCAAGTAACATGCAGTGTATGTGGTGCAGGCACTCTCAATCTGCGTGCACATGTATGATTCAGTCGTTTTTTTCCAAATAGGCTTTCAGGCATCACTCTCAAGAAGGACAATGTGGTAAACACCCGACCTTCAAAGAAAAATGCTAATCAAAATCAAAGACTGCTACACAATTGTGATTTTGTATCGCAGAAACTGCTATGCAAAAATATGACAATAAATTCATCCCTGGTATGGAAAACAGATGTGTGCGGTTAAGCGAGGTCTGACTGTACAATGCAATCGTCCGGAGGCTACGATGATCGCATTGCTACATGGCTGGTTAGTACTTACTGAGCACGCAGTGAACACTCTGACCTAATAGAGAGGTTCCGCATAACGTAATTACGTTAGTAAAAAACGTAGTCGATCTGCGGAAAGTCTTTACGTAACTGCATGTGCATCTGTGTTCCGCCATACGGACTTTTCAAATCACGTAGCTGCCCTTGGCAACTCCAAACGCGGCAGTGTACAACCAGATCGACCTAGGGAGAGAGTCATAAATTTGTACCTCAATCCACTTACGGACCAGCTACGTTATCAGAGTCCTATCTACGTACTCTCCGTAGACAACTTTCCGTAAGTGGAGTGCAAATTCGCGAATTCACGGATTTTTCCCGCCCACTAACGTAACGTTGCTCAACTTTACGTAGTGCGGAACCTCTCTATTGTCAAGGTTCCCTGGCTTGTGTGAAAGTTGCGCTACATTCGTTGATCGTATCAGAACAATCAACCAGTGGTTACCACGAGATGATTTCCGAAATGAACTACCGTAAAAGTCCGTAAATACGTACCTGCCCGAAAGAAATACCCCCTTCATTCTTTTGGCTCTGTCTGTTGAAGTCAAGTCAAGCCCGGTAAACATACTGTCCGAAATAAGTACGGGTATGGTGTGCACATGCAGCACGTAGCATGTACATCTACATGAAAATGACTTCTCCACTACACACATAGTCAGGTCCGAAAGTTAGTTCGTGCCCGAAAGTCAGTACCCACCCGAAAGTCAGGACGGATGTGGTCACTAAATTCGAAAGTAAATACGTACTTATTTACGGACTTTTATGGTATTAGATTGATAGATAGATTGAGTACCAATAGGATAGGTGTAGGAATGCTCAAACCTACTTCAGTATCTACTCTACACAGCAGAAGACCAAGTTCTCCCTCCTTTCTCTCTCTCTCTCTCTCTCTCTCTCTCTCTCTCTCTCTCTCTCTCTCTCTCTCTCTCTCTCTCTCTCTCTCTCTCTCTCTCTCTCTCTCTCTCTCTCTCTCTCTCTCTCTCTCTCTCTCTGGTCATGTAATTTCAGCATAAAGGAGAGGCAAAGCCACTTCAGCAGATTCTGGCAGCGCCGTGCTGACAAGCAAGCGAACACAGCGTCGGAAAAGAGGACACTAGAGGAGCAGAGAGGCAACAGTAACGCTGGAGACGTGAGTCTCAGGGGAGTGCCGACGGTCACGGCCGATGAAGATGTTATTGACGGTTTGGACGGGCCTTCAGAAGCAGCTGCAAGCTCAGCTCCAGCACCACGCAAATCGCGTCTGCCCCGCGGCCTTGCCAACTTTCTGTCCAGAAACAGCAAGCAAACACTGGTGGCAGCGAGCCTGACGCCCGGATCACAATTCAGCTCTGCTGCGCCGAGTGCTGTGCCTTCCAGTGACAACCTGCTGACGGATAACGAAGGCACTGAGCAGGAAGATGACGTTGTCACTCCACCATCAGTTGGGAAGGAAGGCAGACCCTCTGTCGAGGTCGTGATGGTGATCGGAGGCAACCATGACGACCCTTCGGACGACGAAGGCAATAGAGGCACGGGCCAGGGTGCCAGTGAAGCTGCTGGTCTGGGACCCCGTAGGTTTACAATGGACACTAGGCATGGCACGGCGTCTTCATTGTCAACTGGTATGACGACGGACACACACCGCCAGTGGACGCCAGCAGCCGGTGCTGAAACGCCAGCAGCTCAGACCGAAAGAACGAGCATGAATGCAAGCAACGAAGAGCCGCAGGGCGCGACGACCTCTCCAGACAGCCAGCTGAGATTGTCTTTGCAGGCGCGCCAAGCAAACCTCGTAAGTGCCATGATGGCAGCGCCGTCAGCATCACACAATATCAATGAACCCGTGCATACTGACACAGCAGTGACAGAGAGCTCTTCCGACACGACACGGCAAGGTCAGGACGCATCAGTGGCCAAACCAACCAGTCTGGAAGATTCAGCTTTCGGCAAGACAGGCTCAACAGGAAAGGAGAGCAAGAGCGAGCATGTTTCAGGCCGTAGATTCCAGGCCAGAGACACCGTACACCGCCCCAAAAAAGAACTGGTACGGCATAGCTCCGACTTGCTCCTGAACGACTTGAAGTCGCAGATACACAAAGAGGATGACGAAGCAATCCACAGTGCTAAGCAATCTTCAACTGGCTTAGAGGACGCGCTGTTCGGAGCGGCCAGCATGGAGCATCTGGCCAGCGTGCGAGAACGCAGCTCAAGCCGACCGGACCTTTTTGTCACCCCAACAGACGTTGATGATGACCTTGAGGCAGCGCTGTTCAGAGCTAAGACGAAAGTGAAAGAGCGCGAACTAGAGGCGGTGGTCAGCCAGCCGAACCTTGAGAGCATCGGCAATGGCGGTGGCTTGGAAGATGCACTCTTCGGGGCAAAGAGCATGGAGAACATTGCCAGCAGGCGAGAAAAGATGACATCAGGCAGCAGCAGCAGTAGTCAGCCCAGCAATGTCCTAGCACCACCGTCGGGTCTTGAAGCTGCCCTCTTCAGCGCAAAGAGCTCAGAGCAAATTGCGGACAAGCGAGAGAATAGAGAACCTGTGCAAGAGCATGAAAGTGAAGTGCCTCCTCCTCCTCCAGTGGAGAAGAGCATAGAACAGATGGATGTCGATCATCTGCTACAAAAAGCAGCGGATGACATCACTACCGACAGTGGCATCAATAGAGACTACCATGATCCTACTTCTGCAGACAGCTCATCGCCATCGACATTCAGCGATGCCAGCGGTATGGAACAACTTAGTACGCCTCTCAAGCCCAGCGGTAGCAGCAGCAGCAGCACAACGGCATACGTGGGTGACGACATGCTTCCCACCACCCTGTCGCTGACACCGTCGACAGGCACACTGGACACGATTGAGGAGACGGACAATGAGCCGAGTGGTGGCGCTGGCAGTGGCGATGGAGATGGTAAGGACCTGAGTCCCGAGGACAAGCATCGCTATCAGCTTGCCACCCTGCAGCAGCGCAGCGCCAGCAGCCTGACCGGATCCATAGAGGATGGCATGGAAAGCAGTCGGATATCATCGCGCAGTGCCTCGCTTCCCACACTGGTGGAGTCTGACGTTGAAGACTGAAAATCTGGAGTTTAAATGCGTTGTACATATGATTGATGGTTCTGCATATCACTATTACAATAACTGGCTAAAGCTCTTTTGGACCATTATGTAATCATAATGCAAAGCCCATGCAAAATCCAGGACAGTCAATGGTTGAAAATCATAATTGAATACTTACGGTCACTGACCGCATCAATAACACCAACAGTTGATTACATAATCAATGTATTAATCATTATTTTGGAAATTTCCAGCTCTGCTTTGGCTAACTGCATCTTTGAATACGAACTGAGGTGTTGCGCCTAAGGCAGTACTTGTACAAGCAGGTCACAGGTTAGAGTTCTAATGGGGTTGGCATTTCCCCCCGCTCTACCGGCAATTTGCTTCCCCTGAGAATTTAGGGGTCGTCGCAAAAGTTTTTTTGTAATCCCTGAAACGAACATCATTCGGGTCCGAGTACGAAAAGTGAACGATGTTCATTTCAGGGACGACAGAAAACTTTTGCCACGACCCCTTACTGTGTACAATACACTACTGAAGTACTAACGCAGAAGCTGCGACGAACTCGGCCATTTGAAATTTTGAAACACTCCACCACTCCACATTGCGCTCTTGGCCCACATTCACAACACCGTACTCCATAGCAAGGAAATTCGCTCTTGGATAGATGTTGCATATCCTCCAGACAGCTGTTTTGCTCATCGCTTTATCTATTCATTCGTTTTCTATCTCCACCGAGGAGCTCTCAAATTGAGTCTATGAACAAAACAGCTGTCTGGAGGATACTTAGCTGTCCCCACAGGATACCGCGATTCCGCGGGCGCGGAATTTTCCGCGTTATTGGTTATCATCCGCGTTTCGAGAGATTTCGCATAAATCCCGCGTTATTCATGAGAATGTACAAGAAAATAGTGCATGCTGTTGAAAATGTACTACAAAGTCGTATGGGTTCATGAGTTTGTACGACAAAGTTGTATTCTTGCATGAGACTGCACGCTAAAGTTGTACCAGTGACAGATAACTCGTGCATAATGACCGCATTAACCCGCATATTTGCCGTATAATGGCCTGTTTTCACCCGCATAATTTTAGGATTTTGTCCGCGTTATTCTGTGGGGACAGACTTAGTATGCAATATCTACCCAAGAACGGATTTCCTTGCTATGGAGTATGGTGTTCAACTGCTGTGAATGTTGGCCAAGAGCGCAATGTGGAGCGGTGGAGTGTTTCAAAATGTATGTACTCTTCATATTATTCTGTCCCTGCGGGAATTTGCGGAAAAAACTCTCGAAAACTTGCGCAAGAAATTGCGGCAGAAAACAACAAAAAATGCGACGAAAAGTGCGGAATGATGCAGAACTTGCCAGGAATTCGCGGAATTATTTGCAGAAAATTGCGGATTTGGGCCAAATCACGAAATTTGTTGCATCGTATATCTACTCGGGAGTAGTACGAGTCGTGCTGTGCAAATAACCTACAGGATCATGGAAAGTACTGCGTGAAAAGTGCATAAAAATGTGAGATATGGTGCAGAAAACAACATAAAAACGCGGGAAATCGCGGATTTTGCTGAAAATCGCGAAATTTGTTGCATCCGTGGAATCGCGATTTCCTGGAGGGACAGATTATTCATCTATCCACGTAGCCATCAGGTTTAAAACTTCACGCACACCGCAGACTGCTACCAGCTCCTATTATCTCCTACATTTTTTGTTTGCTTTTGTAGTGGCAGACGTGACATCCAACAATGGGACACAGGGATAGGTTTCGCATCCATCCATCCATCCTATTATGCCTGCCCACTGAATTACTACAAGTACATCATTACGCACAACACCCTTTCACCAGGCTCCTTTAATCCGCCACAAGGGTAGCAATTACAGCACAACACCACAACTACTTTTTTTCTTTCTTTTTTAATTTTATATCTTCGCAGCATTGCTGCTACCAAACACATCACTAAGCGTATTGCAGAAGACCTGATTGGAAAAGCAGGCTGACACAAAGACATACAACACTGTCTCTGGTAGGGCTTTCACTATAAGAATGCTCCCTGCGTGGGGATAACACGCAACTCAAGACAACCAGCAAAGCCAACACAGAGAACACGGCAGCAGCAGAAGTAGCGAGAAAGAAAGTGGCAGCATTACTCGTAACAGTTTTAAAGCACAGAGAAGAACACAGATGGTCATGATCATGTCAATTTCTACATCTCTGATAACAAGTTCTTTTCCAGTTCAGCATAACAATACAATATGCTGTATCAGCCGTAGCAAGTAGCGGGCAAGCGAATGCATAGCACGAATCTGAGAGTGAGCAGTTCGCACGGCTTGATGGCCAGCGCCAATTTCACTTCTTTCCAGATTTCTTGATGCCACTACCTCCTACGACACATATACACACACAGGAAACCAAACACGCTACGTGAATATCCGAGCAGTGTTTCAACACACCGTTATTCAACCCAAACCTGGGAAGATAGGCACCTCGGAACGACAATAGGTGCTCCCTGACCGAATTATGCTAACAGGTACCGGGTAGTACACATGGTGTGCATGCACAACTGCTGACGTGATGTGCAACAAATCTAACAAGCGGAAAGAGCATAACTATCTCCCATCCAATTTCAACAGACTCGGCAGTCCTCCGCATTGTGGCAACCACAGCCCACTTAAAAATAATTTTTTGATTAATTCGATTACCTACAAGACACTACGGTACTAGTACCGTAAAGTGCCGTTGATCAGAACCCTGTCGAATTTCTGCATGTGAAGCGACATCGGCGTATACAACGAAATACGATGTTGAACCGATGCATGTACTGCTGCACACAATACATGTACGTGCGAGTGCAGGATGGAAATGTGCACAATCCAGCATTCCAGGTTCAATCTTATGCTTTGTTGTACATAGCACTGCACTTGAACAACTTGATCTAATTCCCGCCCCTGCTGAAAAACCAGCTGGGAAGCGACACAGCGCGCGAGGGGGGGGGGGGGGGGGATCAACGGTACTTTACGGTACATGTAGGCTCAAAAACCTGATTCTAACTTATGGTGAAAAAAGGGGGACAAAATGTTACGAGTTAATTAAGGGAATTTTGTGCCATTTTGTCGCACTCGCTGACTGTATAAGATCTGGTTACGTTGGTGGACAGTTAGTCATAACTCGTAACAACCTAACAGCCATTTATTGAAGCCATACTTGGCCGAAATACGCAAAACCCAATCTGAAACAAATGAGTTTGCTATGGTCCACTTCTTGTGTTGAGGATTGGACTTTACAACATAATACCATCTATTGAAAGAGCGTTTGCTCCACACTGCACTGCCGGAAAACAAACAATTCAACAAGATCAACCTTCGACCCCTTTACGGTAAAGGCAAGATGACCGTTGTTTTCGACTGCACACACATCATAGCCTTGACTTGGTGTTACGAACGCAGCACAGAAGAGCAAAATGCAAACCAATAAGCGGCACCTACCCATTGGTCCTTTCTGTGATGCCTTGGCCTTGGCTGCCTCCAGCGCTTTCTTCTCCTCCCTCATTCTCTGCTTCAGAGCCATGTCATCCTGACAACAAGGACACAGTGTAGAGCAGCAACAGCAAGTATATTCAACAATAACTTACAAGAACATCCAAATGCAATGTAGCTTTCTCGGAGACAAAAGCAAACTAAGGAACAAGATTGCATCCAGGCTCCTCTCAAGCAACATTTCAAATTCAACGGAAACCCACCTACCGTATTTCCCCGAAAAGTCGCACACTCGGTCATAGATCGCATCCCCATGTTCAGGCAATTGTTTCAATCTATTCACAACCCTAGGAAGTCGTGCTCGATTGCAAGTCGCAGCACCCGCTTCTTCCTCCATTGAAGTTTACTGTAAAATGATGTGACTAGCATCCAGGGAAATACGGTATCCATACAGGCACTGGGTCTATCAAACACTAGCCTTCGCATAGACCAGACTGCTACCATCTCCCACTACATCCTAGCGGCAGATGCGACGTTCAATATTACATATTTGAAAATGCTCACAAAAGGGAAGTGCAGAGGCGAGGCAGGGGTGCTAACTAAAGCTCGAGCCGCATGGCATGTCTAAGCACATTCGGCGCAGAGCTCTCCCTCTATTACAGCTTGTAGACATCTGTTTAAAAAAATGTGTGTGTGTGTGGGGGGGGGGGGGGGGGGGTCCAAGCGGTGGATCCTTGGATGCAAGGCGTCGAAAAACAAGTACCGAATTTTCCGGAGTATAAGCCGCGAATATTATTATTATTATAAGCCGCACCCAGGCTTCGTCACAAAATACAGACACCTACCCTGTTTAGCACCGTTCATTTGACCATCGCAGTATAAGCCGCACTGTCTTTTTTTGGTGAATTACTTGGGTTTAAAGTGCCACGTGTACTCTGGAAAATACGGCACTTCTTTAGAAATATTCATTTGTTTCAGAGAGTTCACTTTTGCAATTTCAGTGTATTGCTGGATCAAATCTTTTCAAACATAAGCAAAGCACCTCTTGTAGCCTTAAATTCATATCCATACACCTGGGACCTTGGCGCACTATGCTGTGACTGCCCTCCCTGCGTTGTCAGAGCGGAGACAATTGCACTCTGCCGTAGTACAGGCCAGTGCAATTCAACTACTAGTATCCAGACTTAGGCACTGTGGTTTTGCCGCCAGCACTGTTCAAGGCTCCTGGGTAGGTCACTCCCAATAATACCGAGTGCATCCCCCAGCCGAGGACAGTCTGTGGGGCGATTTCTCAGCACCTTCCCACACACAGTACCATTAAAAGCATTCCATAAAGTAGCGGTCAAGGCAATGTACTGTTCTCTATGGCTACCATTACCCGTCCTCCAGCACTGCAGTGGGGATGATGCACTTCCAGTACATGTATTCGTACAGACTGGACAAAGGCTGCAAAGCTATTCGGACAACACTTATTTCTATTTCCCCATAAGGGCACGGCGCGGATAGATCATCCCACCTGACACGCCAAAGAAATGTCATCAACATGTTACTACTTTTGTAGTAACATGTTTCAGGGTCCTCCGAGACGACAGTGGAAACATTGAACAACAAACAACAAGCAATGTTGTGTGGGACAAGAGTAACGACCAAGCAAGAAGTTGTCCAGCAGCCTATGTTACAATTACGGCAAACCGTGAGGATGAAAATGAATTAATACGTACATCGTCCATATCCGCAGAATCCTTCTTGGGCTGCTTCAGAGGCTTCTTCTTGCCACCTACCCACGGACAAACCAGATGTCACTTGGTCCATAAGCAACAGGTCACGTTTCATCAGTGAACGGCACGAAACTTAGCCTCAGACTCACCTTGTCTTCCAGACATGATTCTGCTTGATGTGGTGAGCGAACAAAGAAAAGTACTTGGAGATATCCCCGGGCACGTTAGTTCTTCTTCTTCCCTCAAGGAACTCTAAAGAACATCAGAGAGGAAACAGTTCTGGTCGAAAAGATCAAGATTTTGAAAAATCCGTCGCACGCAAAAAAATCGACAAGCAAGTCGCCATATTTAGGCACCATGGCAACACCTGTTTCCAACGGCAACGCGTACAGATGCTGTCCTGCTGGTCAGGGAGTCGTAAAATACGATTCCTTGGTCCTGGTAGTCCAGACTAGACTTGGGTGTTTCTCATGTCAAATCGGATTCTCCATCTCCACTCACACACTGTGACACAGTGCACATATACGTGTACACAAGCTGTCATAAACAAGCCGTCAATCTGGACTAAGATCAGCCTATGACCATTTTTCGGACCACATCCATCCATCTGGACTTCAGTAGCGGTACAACCAGGCCAGCGAAAATCGGAGAGATCAGATTTCACCTCCGGTCTCCTGTAATTGGTCGATCCTGTGCCGCCGGGAAAAAAATACAGAACAAATGTTACACGATACTGTCACAGTGCAACGGGCATGGTCGACCACTGAGTCTTTGGCTGCTGGTTGGAATCAGGGAGTAGTGCAATACCGGCCGTACAAAACGTTATACTACTTCCCGCCGGTCCGGTTGGGATCATCCCAGCCCGATGTTGGCCATTCACAGTGACGCCTTGCTCCAAGAGAAGCGACCCGGACTCTGTAATGGTGCAATTATACATGTATGGTATTATCCGCAGTGCCACTTGTCGATTTACATGTACTTCGGGACTATGGTGGTGGCATCATGGACAAGATCTCAAACCTAGTTGGTACTGACTTAGCGTACATGTACATGTACAGTACATGTACAATTCAGTCACACAGCGACTGTTGTAGCGAGACTGGGGAATAACATCAATCAGTTCAGATGAGACATACATGTACTTGTACATGTACTTTGTACTGGTTGAGACCATGCAACATTGTCGGTAACCATGGTAACACTAAATGCCCCTCGCTACGCGGTGCACCAACCCCCCACCCCACATTAGTCACTCTCTGCGACTATGTGGTTTTTGCAGACAACACGCGCAGTGAAACATCCTGTAAAATTAATGATCAAGCGGATTGATTGAAAACATACTGGGCTCAGTGCGGATTCACCTTTTCTCGTGGGAAATACCTTTGAAATATTGCAGAAAGAAGACGAGATATGAAGAGAATGTGGCACATGTATGGTGAAAGGCACCTTACAGATGTACGGGATAAGAGACGAACACGATACTCGGCGGCCGTCCGCCTGGCGTGATACAAACTACGCGTTCTCGGATAGACTTTGTGCAGAAGCATGGGCATAATGCAGGCTTTACGGATGGTTGAATTAAAGCCGAAGACATGTCCATAGATATGAATCAAACTTGGCACATGGAAACACACACACATACACATGATCTCAACGAGAGCGGGTGAAGACCGGGAATCATTAGGAATTCGACATCGACGAGAAACCAGACCCAGGGGGCGAGCGTCGTCTGCATCTTCCCCGCATGCATAGAGTGTTGCATTTGCGCTCATGTAATACAGAACGCCGGTATGGGTAAACCGTTGTTAAAAATGGCCTTGCACTCAGATCACCCTCGCGTAACATTCAAGGATCAGAGTCCAGCTCAATAGAGTTTTGCAGACTATGCATGCAATACAGAACTGCTGAACAGCAGACCTGCCGGCTTGGCTCGCTAGCTGCTGAACGGGAGAGCTTGCTACGTTGCAGGCTATGGACATTCATGGCCCAATCTGTCTTGTATTGCTTGTTATAATTACATTATGAGCCAATCAGACCATGGAATTCCGAGGCAATATTGGCAACCGACTGGCATTGCAATGATATGACATAGCTCTTCCGTCGGCACTCGAGTCCTGGCAGTGCTGCGTCGACTTGGTTAGTGTTGACTGCTAACCCTTCACCCAGCTGCAGAGAATGTGGCAGGCAAAAAGAAGCAGTGCGATGAGAATGGTACGCCAACTAACTGTTAGTGCTTTGTTATAGCTGTCATGATTTGCTTCCCGCAGTCTGTCAAAATGTTCGCCACACTTGCAAGAAGAGCATAACACGAATATCAGCCATCATGAAATCAAACTTCAACGGTGGGTGTCCATGTATGTTTATGGTCACATTGTTCTGTGGACATTTTCCATTGTAAACTCTCTGGTTCTCAAAATATCAAATTAGTGACACTGACAGGTATTGGAGGGTTTAGAGTAGGTTCAGCAGCCACCGCAGCAGTGACGGCAGTAGCTAAGTTTAGTTTCCATCCTCAACGTGCATGATGTCATCTGTGACTTCGGGTTTTCGGGTACTATTCTGTACCCGTCTACTCGAGATCCTCACGGGTAGCACGGGTACCCGACTACCCGTGCACACCACTACTTATTTCTGTAGAAGCCGATGTCAGCGCTAGGCTTCTATTCAAACCAGGTATTTCAATATAATTATGTCAACACTAAAACCAGGCTTATGTCCCGATATATTATGTATCTTGAAAATCAGGCTTGTATTCAAAACAGGCTTCTGTATGAGACAGGCTTTAATACAAGACACTACGGCACTCGTACCGATTGTCTGCACTGCGACGGCGCATGCGCAGCACTTCCAACTCGTTCTGCCGCAAAGAGGCTTGCTGTCGCATCATCATTGCCAAACGATTGTCGACCTTTGATAGCTTGTCTACGGCAGCGGCAGAGCTACTTGACAGTCTGCAGAGCAGCACGTATAGCAAAAAAACCCCACCACACTCGTGTATTAATGCAATGCCTGGTAGAAAGATTTGGACTTATGAAGACGGTACAGGGGCGTAGCAGCCGGTCCGGCCGGTCCGGCTTTGGCCGAACCACCTTTTTTAACACAATGCCAAAAGTGCCCAGAATGCAGGATTTTGCACACTAATTTCAACCTTTTCCCGGGCGAGAGCCCTCCCCCCCCCCCCCCCCCGACCCCTCTCCGGCCGGACCACCTCCAACGGCGGTGCTACACGCCTGCGGTAGCAGCAGGCATTCCTCTGTACTGCATAATATCCAAGCATCAAAGTGACTAGCGACCAGCCTGGTACTACAGACCACCGTGACTAGCGACCAGCCTGGTACTACAGACCACTTTGCCAGGCACGGAGGGTCTCACGTCCATATACGGTTGCGTGGAGCAAACCTCTAACTAAGGACCACCTGCCAAGAAAGACCGCTTTCTCTGGCCCCAAGGGGTGGTCGCAAGTCACAGGTCACAAGTTTTACTGTACATGAAAATCAAGGTGCTGCCCCCGCTGCTGGTTTCTGTATCCAGCCAGTGCCAGTGGGTATTATCCAGTGCCAGTGGGTATTATCCAGTGCTGTTGCAAGTACAAGTGATTCAAGATACGAGTAGATGTAGATCTACCCGACCAGGGTCAGTTAGTTTATACATATCTGGCATTGGATTGAGCCAATCACCCACTCATGATCACCTATGTGCTGCGAAAACTTACACGGTGAACGTTTCGATGGACTTCTTCCGTAGCTTTTCCTCGTCTTCTCCGAGTTCGGGTTTAACCTGAAGCAGTGGCCGAGATGATTTTTCCGCCACAGACCTAAATCAGAGATGATACGAGACAGTGGGATCCATTTGTCGGCCAAACCGTGATATAACAAGAGTCGGTCACGAAGGGTGACCCGAGTGAAGTCTTAAAAAACGGGCAAGTAAAAAGGAGGAGGAGGAAGAGGAAGGGAGGAGGAGGAAGGGAAGAGAAGGAGGAGGAGGAGGAGGAGGAGGAGGAGGAGGAGGGGGAGGAGGGGGCAGATAGGAGGGGTATTGAAACTCATCAGCACGAACATCTCACACTAACACGTGTCTTTACATGCAACGTGTGAACCCCATAGACACATAGACCTGGTTTGGGGACAGTCCAAGTTGCAGACAAAACATACCACTGCAAACACTAAATGACACCATCTCACCTCCGGAGGGAGAAGACAGAATGGAGGGGGGGGGGATGGATTTTCACACGATTATGCCATTCCCAGCCGCCCACCACTGCTACAGCATATTGGACACAGTCATTGCCGGTCACAGCTGCCAAGTGATACTGACCGTGGACCTGGCTAACCATATGGTAGGCCACCATGCAGTTTGTCCAGCATATATTCCCAGCCGGTTCATAGTGACTAGTACAGTCAAACCTCTTTAGGACGAACACCAAGGGACCGATGATATTTGTTCGCAGTTCTTCTTATCCGTATGTTATACCCAGTGAATACACAGTGATTTATCCAATGGAGTTACGAATACTAGTTCTTCTTAAGCAAACATTTGCCTCATCCGCGTTCTTCCTAACGAGGTTTCGCTGTACTATGTATACAGCCCAGGCACATAATAGTATCCCGTGAGGGGCACGGGGACGTGTGCACCCCTTAACTCGCTCGACCTTCATTCAGCCGGTATGTGCAGGTATTGGCTAAATGGCCTCAGTAGGGATTGCAGTTGAGTGCCTGCTGTGAAGCCAGACGTGCACCCTCTTAATAACAGGTGGACCAGCTACACAGGCCACTGACAACCCATCATGGCTTACCAGTCTGCATCAGCCACCGGCCCTCGTGCGCGGGCGGCAGCGATGTCGTACGTGCCCAGGGCGTGAGCAGAGGCAGACCTCGCATGCCGAGCACGCCCACGCTCTACACCAAGCTCACACTACGGACAGCAGAACATAGACAGCAGAGTAACAGACGAGGCGGGTTGATTAGTGTTGCTACTCTTCACACCTACCCCTTGCAATCTGTATCGAAGTGCTAAGAACATCCTTCCTAAATCTATTCTGCCATGGCTGGCTCTCATCCTTCATCCCAACTGATTTTAAATCGGCCGTCTTTTGATGTGCCAGTACGGCAGTAGATGTTGTCTGCATACATAAATGAATAAACCGAGTATCAAGATATTTGAAGTACGTCAGCCTGTGCAGAGAAACTGCCAGCATCATCACCTGCATTATGCATAGGGGAATATTAGCAATACTGTGGGTGCTGGGTCATACTACAGTACTTCTCAATGAAATCCGATCAAATGAGTCAAGTCAGCGCCGGGCGCTGTGCAGCCCTAGACCTGCATTTCACTGGAACAGGGTTCAAAGGTGACTGAGACTCACACAATCGTATTTCATTGAGCAGCACTGTGGTATATGGATTACGCACGCACACACACGTTCAACATGCTCCTCATCCTAGAACCATAGCTACAGTGAAACAGTCTAGTCCTCCGTATACAACACAATAATTATGGGATGATACAGTACTATCTGAAGTTTCACCATACACTATACACCATACACTATACACTATACACTATACACTATACACTATACAGTATACAGTATGCATGTACGAGTATTCGTGCATTTAGTGCATTTAGTGCATTTAGTGCTGTATAGTGCATACCTCCTGCGCGTGAGCTTTGTCGCTTGACGCCTTCAATGCCGAATTGCTCCCTTCCTTCCTCTTGTCAACGGTATGCGACACGGAAGCAATGAGTCGCTTGCTCTCCTCTCGTAAAGTGCGGCTTGCTTCGATAAGGCTCTGCGACTGGGCCACAATCTTGCTGGATTGAACCCCTGCAGGAGCACACAACAACAAACCAGGAAAGGACAGCGGCAAGTTCAATTTTTAGAGAGCGTGCACAATATCCACAAACGGCAGTTTGGAACCTGACAGCCACTGGGAATAAGACTGCACGCACATCAACACCTTTTCCATAACTTGATACTGAAGGTGAACGAACACTACAGCACGGCTTTATAGGTTTCAGCGAAAGTTGTCGTTTCTACTCTAAATCTGGAATTATTGCACAATCTACCTCGACTCGAGTTTTGATTTGTGACGGTTTTGAACGCTATCATAATGCATATCGACCCAAATTCCAATATTCGGCTGGATTTTAGCTAGGTTCAATGTGGCATACATGTACTATTGCACAGAAAAGTGGAATCTTGTTCCGGCTCTAAATAACGCAGGTATATATACTAGCACCCATAATAATTTGATAACCGCAATCACCCATAACAAATCCATAATAAAATATTTCTTAAATACCGTAGATGTTTCGCCGAAGTGCAAGATCTAAGCAGGCGTCTGCTATTACAAAGCACACTGACCTTTTGTAGCTGTGAGCGGTGATCTGCTGACTGCGGTGTTTGTAGCGGGGTCATCACTTGCAGTCACAACGGCATTGAACTGCACAGCCTTCACCGGCTTCCTCCTGCTGGTAGTGTATCTATCCTTGTTCTTGTACGGGAAGGAGAGTATCTAAGACAAGCAAGAGAAACACATCACCGGCAGGCCCTTGCTTGTTGAGCCTTACTAGCAAGAGTATACACGGCAGGCGCATAGCTTGTATAAAGCAGGGATGAATTTATCCGGTATCGCATCGCAGTTTGCTACGCAAAATCGATCTACTGCTACTAAAAAATGACAGTGACATGCAGAAAACCGCGATACATACATGTACAGGCTATTCATGCTTTTCATAGCTTACGCCACAATTGAGATTTTGCATAGGAAAAACTGCTATGCAAAACATGGCAGTAAATTCATCCCTGTATAGTCAGCGTAGTACAGTCACCACGCCTGCACTGAAATGCCTGTCATAGCCATAGGCACAGCACAGTGAAAACAGGTAAACATGCTGACTATGAGGTTGCCGGTGGTACATGGTCACCACACCCGCACAGATAATGTGCGAGCTACGCCCCCGATACATAACCCCGAGAGTATGCACCACTGCACATGGGATCTGGCGCGGCGTTCCTCCCCACATTACAGAGACACAAAGTGGGAAATTAGCCGGGGTACTGCGCTATCATTGATCTGCTATGGTTTCCAGCGGCCAAGCACATTTTCTCAGAGATTACGGAAAGTTTTTTTTGCGTGATGGGTCGGGCACGGGCATTGCCTTCAAATCTACCATTATTATGCAAGAAATCATTGCGTCTAACCATAGAAAAACTGAAATCGAGTCAGCTTGATCGTCATGTTACTACGTAATGAAGACAGCGCTGCTGTCTCCGTGCCGGGCACACATAGCTTGGAGATCCAGAGTTGCACACCCTTGGGGCTATGGACTCTTGGCACTAATCAGTATACTTGTACAGAAGGCCACACGAACTAAGCCATGCATAACACGAACTAAGCCATGCATAACATGAACTAAGCCATGCATAACACGAACTAAGCCATGCATAACATGAACTAAGCCATGCATAACATGAACTAAGCCATGCATAACATGAACTAAGCCATGCATAACATGAACTAAGCCATGCATAACATGAACTAAGCCATGCATAACATGAACTAAGCCATGCATAACACGAACTAAGCCATGCATAACACGAACTAAGCCATGCATAACACGAACTAAGCCATGCATAACACGAACTAAGCCATGCATAACACGAACTAAGCCATGCATAACATGAACTAAGCCATGCATAACATGAACTAAGCCATGCATAACACGAACTAAGCCATGCATAACATGAACTAAGCCATGCATAACATGAACTAAGCCATGCATAACATGAACTAAGCCATGCATAACATGAACTAAGCCATGCATAACATGAACTAAGCCATGCATAACATGAACTAAGCCATGCATAACATGAACTAAGCCATGCATAACATGAACTAAGCCATGCATAACATGAACTAAGCCATGCATAACATGAACTAAGCCATGCATAACATGAACTAAGCCATGCATAACATGAACTAAGCCATGCATAACATGAACTAAGCCATGCATAACATGAACTAAGCCATGCATAACACGAACTAAGCCATGCATAACATGAACTAAGTCATGCATAACATGAACTAAGCCATGCATAACATGAACTAAGCCATGCATAACATGAACTAAGCCATGCATAACATGAACTAAGCCATGCATAACATGAACTAAGCCATGCATAACATGAACTAAGCCATGCATAACATGAACTAAGCCATGCATAACATGAACTAAGCCATGCATAACATGAACTAAGCCATGCATAACATGAACTAAGCCATGCATAACATGAACTAAGCCATGCATAACATGAACTAAGCCATGCATAACATGAACTAAGCCATGCATAACACGAACTAACCATGCATAACATGAACTAAGTCATGCATAACATGAACTAAGCCATGCATAACATGAACTAAGCCATGCATAACATGAACTAAGCCATGCATAACATGAACTAAGCCATGCATAACATGAACTAAGCCATGCATAACATGAACTAAGCCATGCATAACATGAACTAAGCCATGCATAACATGAACTAAGCCATGCATAACATGAACTAAGCCATGCATAACACGAACTAAGCCATGCATAACATGAACTAAGTCATGCATAACATGAACTAAGCCATGCATAACACGAACTAAGCCATGCATAACATGAACTAAGCCATGCATAACATGAACTAAGCCATGCATAACATGCAAGTACTGTTGTCACAGTGGCATTGAAATCCAGTGAAATGACCGTGGCCGGCAGCCATACTTGCTTAGCGCATATACACACACTGTAACACTGTGAAAATGGACCAGCAGTGCTTACGGCTGTGCGATGGGCCAGCGCCCTGTGGCTGCTTGACTTCTGAACGGATTTCAATGTCCGCACCAGTACATGTACCTTGCACAGCCCCAGGGGGTTCATTACACTCAAAGTACAGTCAGACCTCGCTTATCCGGCCCTCTTTTATCAGGATCCCTCGTCATCCGGAAGAACATAGCTGGTTATATATTTACAGCACACGTGATGCATCCAACATAGGCGGTGTTCGGTTATCCGGTTCCCTCGCCTATGCGGATATCTTTGTGGACTAGAGATGTGTGCGGTTAAGCGAGGTCTGACTGTAGTTACAGTCTACATGGCTGTTGCAGTGTACCTTTTCGTGATGAGCATCCAGAGCAAGAGGACCACTCTTGATGCTGTCCGAGCGAGATGTGATGGTCTTGCGCAACTTGTCCACCTCCCACTGCTGGTTCTTCACCTGCGCCAGCTGCTTCTCAAGGTCGCGCTTGCACTGGGAGAGATGGCGTGCCTCGCTCGCCAGAGCCACACTACTGCTGTCGGTTAGCTGTCATCATGTGCATACAACACAACACACATAGGATTTCTAGCATTTAGTACATATTCACAGATTTGAGGGAAAGATGTTAAAGTGGGAAAAATCTGAAGAAACAAATTGACTGTCATCGCCACCACCATTTAGTGTATAATGCACCTTTGTTGCATTGGGCACCTTGACTGATACAAACTGGCTATGTGGTACAAGTACATTGTATACTGGCGTTCTCAATGCCAGGACAACTAACAGTCTTTCACAACCACACACGGGAGAAGTTTGTGGAGACCATTGTAGTCTGTGCATGCATGCATGCACACAGGCAGGCAGATAGACACACACACACGCATGCATGTACACACATGCACACACCACACACGCGCGCGCGCACACACACACACACACACACACACACACACACACACCGTACACACACACACACACACACACACACACACATACACACACACATGCATGTACACACATGCATGCACACACCACACACACACCACACACACACCACACACACACCACACACACACACACACACACACACACACACACACACACACACACACACACACACACACACAAAGTTCAGGGGCCACCCAGAGGCCATACGTGATGCCGGTAGCTCGTAATCTACACAACGATGGTTGCTGCCTGACTTACGCGCTGGTCTCTAGCAGACATTTTCTGTCGCAGCGCCTGTGACTGGTGATTGACGGACATTCCTTTGCGTTTGTCCTGTATGGCCACCTCCAAGAGACACTTGCATTTACCTAGCAGTTTCTGCTCCTCACCCAAACGACAAATGGCCTGTTGCAACTGCGCTGATTCGTCACGCGAATCTCGGATGGAAGTAAACACCTGTGGAGAGGATAATGCAGGGAAGGGTTGCAAACCATCCAGCATCATGCCGCTGTAATTGACACACAATTATTACAGATGTTGTATCCATGGTAGCGGTAGCCTCTCATTGATTTCTCCTACTGCCTGTGCTGGTGTTCAGAGTCGTAGTTAGAAACAAATTGCAACTTTGTCCACACCACTACTGTCAATGTGTGTGGTGTGTGTGTGTGTGTGTGTGTGTGTGTGTGTGTGTGTGTGTGTGTGTGTGTGTGTGTGTGCGTGTGTGTGTGTGTTGCCAGCTAGTTCGGTTGGTGGGTACACTTATGCCTGATTGTGTGGGGCCTGTTGCCAACAGGCTCGGCTGCTTAAAGGTGTATTGTTGTATCTGCCACCTTTGTTGGTTACAGGGTTCATATACTTTCTATTTGAAGTATATATACCTGTTAACCATGGACTGCTTCTGGCTAGATTAACTCTTGTGTAATCAAAGGTGCTGGTGAAGCTTATATCAGATCCACTCCGATTTAGCCACCCACATTAGTAGCAAGTATTACCTTCACTGGGGGCAGGGGTAACTGCAGTTGGATCCCAGGACGGATACCCTGATGCCGTCAATCCTTTTTCTGCACCTTGTCCTCACCCACTTACTGAGGTGTGGTGAGCCCATAAGTGTGATCATTTTCTAGTCCACCCAAAGTTTTGGGGATTTCAGGGGGTGTCGGCCGTTGGGCGGTTCAATAGCCAATTGAGTCATCTTTCTAAGATTCCTTTTGAGTCTCTCCCACGTGACCAGTTTTGGCAGTGAGCAACAAGTACAAGTAAGTGTGTGTGTGTGTGTGTGTGTGTGTGTAAAAAATGGAAAAATGAAAAATAGGGATTCACTGGCCAGAAAAAGTCACTTCAAACAGCTGTGTGGTGGATACCAGGCTAAAAATAGTGGCGGTCAATTCATCAGCCTTGCAAGCTGTTGAATGGTGTAATCCCAGCACAAGTTGCTATGTCTAACATAGCTGTTCGCTATCAGTATCATCGCTCCCGCGATGGGCATGTCTGAGGTCTGAGGTGTGTGTGTGTGTGTGTGTGTGTGTGTGTGTGTGTGTGTGTGGTGTGTGGTGTGTGTGTGTGTGTGTGTGTGTGTGTGTGTGTGTGTGTGTGTGTGTGTGTGTGTGTGTGTGTGTGTGTGTGTGTGTGTGTGTGTGTGTGTTCCTTACTGTCTCGTGTGACTTGGTCCTGAGCGCTGCGCATCCATCCAGTTGCGTTGTTGAACGAATCTCAGCCTGGTTTGTGGCGACGGTGTCGCGCAACAAGGCGGACTCCTTCAGCAACGCCCCTGATTTCTGGAAGCTGGCGGGTAGCGACGCGGCGGCACTGCCAGGACTGGCTGTAGTTGGTCGCTGTGTCGCATGTGGCGAGGACAAGCCGCTGGGAGGACGGGGACTAGCGTGTGGTGAACCTGCCAATGAGGCAATTGGCGAGTGAGGACCACTGCTGCCGGGGCCATCCCTGACCGATTCCAATACGTCGGCTAAGCTCTTCGAAGTCGTCAAGGGCGACCCACCGCCAGCAGCGGATCGAACCCCTCCGCCGCTCGCAGGTCGTGCTGTATTCGTCAGGGGGCTGGAAATCCTCGGCGAGCCAGACCTGTCATTCGGCACCGGACGAAGTGGAGCTATTCCCGCAGTTTTGGGTCGCCCTGCTCGTGACGGTGAAGCCGGTGATCGTGGAGCTGCTGGTGGTGTACCAACAGGCCTTTCCGCAGCTGCTCGGTGCTTGACGTACTCGGCGCCTGTCGCTGCGAACACACTCGATGTCGTCGCCGTAGTCGTAGGGTTTCGGCTTTCCGCCAGTGAGCTGGCTTCTGGCGGAGTGGAGCTACCCGGGGTGAGCAACGCGGCCGTTCTGGGTCTACGATAGGCCAGGTCTGGACTATCAGCAACAGCATAGTGATGGCCTGCTCTGTTCACAGTCAAAGACTGTGCAGCAGTATCCCCGTTCCGACCTGTTACAAACGCTGTTTTGGGTCGTAGGAAGGACATACCTTCCGCCGTTCACGGGGTTCGACTGGACGAACACAACTATTACTTCACAAGGCCGCGGCGCTCCCTATCGGCGCCAACAACATCAACAGCAACAACACCAGGACTCGCTACTTTTTGATAATGGGATCGGGAGTCGACTTTGAGACTCTTTGAAACACACTACGGTAAAATAGCAGCAAACGATGATAGTATTATTACTAATACTGCCGGTATGTCCATGGGAATAGCCCATGGGCTTTGCTTGATGCAGCACTGGGATCATCTGATAACAGTCATGCAACAACGAATCGATTCAACTCATTCGGCCGAGCGACCGGCCTGCTCAGTGCCTCGTAGATCTACAAATCCGGAAACTCAGTTCGAACCGCCTGCACCGTGTACCTGGTGTACATGGTAGTGCTCGCTAGGACCTCGGTTTTCCTGACGCTAGCCATGGAAACGCTTTACAGTTGTTATGGCCACCAATCTCACCGGGCATAAAGGCATCATGCCATCAACATGATCAATCATCATCATTCAAGAATCAAGATACATGTAGACTGTAGAGTCTACATCACGTAGCATGATTTCCACCCCGGCCCCGGCCAAACCATGCAATATCCTATACATAATAATATCCAGTAGCCTGAGTAGGGTCTACCCAGTATCATCTGTTTCCATTCGCTTTGCCTTTGCTTTGCCTTTGCCTTTGCCGGCTTTGGTGCCACAGACTGCCATGCAGGGCCGCTGCATGCTGTCGAGTACGAGTGACCATTGGTGACAAGTGCATGCAGAACGTCTTCACACCATTCACCAGTCTCTAGTCTCTGTTCACGTGCCAAAGGAATAACAACTCAATCAGACCTACTGTCTGAGCTGTACTGTGTAAGTAGTAGCCCTTTCAAAACGTTGCTGGAAGGGCGCCCTTGCTGCCAACCTAACACCTCACTGCTTTTAGTAAATCCACTGGACTGCAGTGCACATGGTGCATGCAGTCAGAAACAGTGATTGGTCGTATCTGAGCAGCGGCGCGCGCTTGGAGTTGAGCAGCTTTGCGGCTGCCTGGACCACAACTAGTACTTGCATCGCCACTGTGAATAGTGTCGACGAGTTGTTTTGGGAGGCCAGAGAGTGTCCAGAAATCTGCCCATTGGCATTACTACATTAGTCCATTCCATCGGCGAGGCGATCAGCCCTGTGGACGGCGAGGCGATCAGCCCTGTGAACGGCGAGGCGATCAGCCCTGTGAACGGCGAGGCGATCAGCCCTGTGAACGGCGAGGCGATCAGCCCTGTGAACGGCGCTACTGTATCGCCGAATCGCGAGCACGGTGCGTGCTGGTCGATCGCTACAACAAATAATTGATTGATTTCTCACCATCGAGTGATCTTGTATGCAAGACATAGTCTAGTCGTCATTCGCACAACACAATGGTGAGTGGTGCACGCTATCGCCGGGCTGCGGGACACGTACTAACTAATCCTACACAGTTAGGGACGATCGCAAAAGTTCGCAGAAGCCCCCGAAACGAAGACCGTTAGTTTCGGGCCTGACCCCCCTCCCCTCCCCCCTCAAACGAAACGACAGTCACAATATGGGCTTCATTATTTCACTTGGATGCTCACACATAATAATTATTATAATATACTACACAGCAGGGGTTCATAAACCCTATCATCCTATGAACCCCTGCTAGTACATGTACTAGTACTAGCAAGAGTCCATAAACCACGCGTTTTATGGACTCTTGGTACTAGACTGCACACAGTGTACAGGCAGCCAGCTACGCGACACGCGCAGTTGCATGAATGGACTACGCGTCCTGACAAGCGATCTACGCCGGCTGTGATGGCATGCTAATCTATATCAGCTCCTACATGTCGTCAATACTTTTTTGAATTGAAGCCCGGTTTGCGATTTTCGACACCGACTCCCCCCCCCCCCAAACGTATGCTCTTCGTTTCAGGGGCTTCTGCGAACTTTTGCGATGGTCCCTTACCCTTGACTTGCGAAAGTCACGCTCAATCCCAGGAAGAGGAGTGCACTAGTGGAGCCTGCCACGCTAGTAATTCGTTCATGGTGACGGGAAAACTGAAGATTTGTTGTAACTCTGAGTTTCATGGCATTGGGCCAATCAACAGACAAACTATTGATGTGGAAGGTGCCTACAATTACTAGTATAATGAGTAGAGGTGAGGGAATTAAAGGGGAAGTTAAGGCAAAAATTAAAATTTCACCAGTTGTAGTCTTCGGGGTGCTGAGTCGAATGGTCTTGGTCCGAGAAAGCTGAGACGTTCCCTTCCTACTTGAATCCCAATCAAACTCGCGCACTTCCACCGAAACTGGGTGACTGCGCCCAACTAGATGGGGATTTGTATGCAAAATGTCACTAAAAGCGCCATTTCGTTCTTATTAAAGCACGGATGACCGCGATTGGCCCACATGTTGTAGTCTTTTGGACGCTGAGTCGACGGGTTTTGGTCCGAAAAGGCTGCGATGCAGCGTTCCTCCTTTATTCCCAATCGAACATGGTTGAACAAGTGGTCACGTGCTCCTGGGTGCCCAAATCACCTGGTCACCACGCCAGCAGGCGACAACTTTCACACCAAGGTTCAACTCGAGTTCAACTCGAGTGACAGGACTGCACCCAAAAAAGGTCAAACAGGCTAGTAAGTTGTACCCTGCAGGCACGGTGACCAGGTGACTGGTGTACGCAGGAGCACGTGACCGCTTGTTCAACCATGTTCGATTGGGAATAAAGGAGGAACGCTGCATCGCAACCTTTTCGGACCAAAACCAGTCGACTCAGCGTCCAAAAGACTACAACATATGGGCCAATCGCGGTCATCCGTGCTTTTATAAGAACGAAATGGCGCTTTTAGTGACATTTTGCATACAAATCCCCATCTAGTAGGGCGCAGTCACCCAGTTTTGGTGGAAGTGCGCGAGTTCGATTAGGATTCAAGTAGGAAGGGAGCGTCTCAGCTTTCTCGGACCAAGACCATTCGACCCAGCACCCCGAAAACTACAACTGGTGAAATTTTAATTTTTGCCTTAACTTCCCCTTTAAAGTGGATGCAAGCTCAGCATAAAGCGTGTTGAAATGGTCACATTAGTGGTGATATGCATGGCAGGAAAGACGTGATTGAACATGTATGTGATAATGATTGTAATGGGTGATTGTAATGGGTGATTGTTATGGGTGGTTGTAATGGGTGATTGTAATGGGTGATTGTAATGGGTGATTGTAATGGGTGATTGTAATGGGTGATTGTAATGGGTGATTGTAATGGGTGATTGTAATGGGTGGTTGTAATGGGTGGTTGTAATGGGTGATTGTAATGGGTGATTGTAATGGGTGATTGTAGTGGGTGATTGTAATGGGTGATTGTAATGGGTGATTGTAATGGGTGGTTGTAATGGGTGGTTGTAATGGGTGGTTGTAATGGGTGGACACATTCAGCATGCTGTATAATAGAACCCAGCAGCAGCGGGAGATCATGGTGGAAAGTAGCAAGGTGAAACCATAGGAGATGGCGAGACATAAACATACACATACATACTCACATGCATCCACCCTTCAACATACACAGGCACACACACACACACACACACACACACACACACACACACACGCATAAACACACACACACACACACACACACACACACACACACACACACATAAACCACACACACACACACACACACACACACACACACACACACGCACACACACACACACATAAACACACATACACACACACACACACACACACACACACACAGTGTCTGCTCTAGGATTGTAGGACAGCCGGGTACACGTGTACCTGGCGCAACCATTTCAACCGGGTCGGAGCCGGGTACACATGTACCTGGCTGGCGCTGTCTCACCATTCGAGTCACATGCTTTTAAAACTGGTTGGTTGGTTTATTTTAATTCGGGCAATAAACAGGAACTACAGTCCATTCATCGGAAACTGGCCCGCTGGCTTTTGAAAGTCGGATTTGGGCCGAATTGAGGATCAAAAACCCACTTTAAAGTTTAAATCTCAAAAATCTGGGTTTTGGATCTGCTTTTCCATACATTTTGCCACGGCATGCCTTTCCTAATTTTGTAAAACCTGGCTGAATTTCTATTTCCCTGTTCTTGGACTTTTCTGGCCTCAAATGTGGCAAGGAGTAATTGCACGGGTCACACAATGCAGGATGTACTGTTATTGTCACGATATCTTCAACTATGTGAGAGAGACACCAAAAAGTTAGGGTGCCAGTTTCCAGTGAATGGACTGTAGGCCCAATGATATAAAGGCGAATGGATAAGCCGCATTTAGAAAAGAGAGGACAAGTATTAGAAAATTACGAAAGAAGAAGAAGTATCTGACACATACAAGCCATGTAGTCTGTCCTTTCAAAGTTCGAAAGTGTAAAGTACCAACCTGGTCACAGGTGACCCGGTACTATATTTTCAACCGGGTCTAAGCGCCGCCCAACCGGGTGGATTACCCGGCTCACCCGGCGCTAGAGCAGACACTGACACACACATACACACGTGCGTGAGTATGTATGTGTATGGTTATGTCGCTCCATCGCATACTATGCGTTCACCTTGCTACTTCCCATCAGGATCTCCCGCTGGTGAATTCTGTACATGCCACTCTGAATGTCCCCACCCATTACATCATCACACACCTCCTTCCTGACGTGCATATCACCGCTAATCACGGTGACCATTTCAACACGCATTGTGCTGAGCTTGCATCCACTGTAATTCCTATTTCCTGCACCGTCGCCCCCCCCCCCCCCCCCCCATTGTAAGCGTAGGCATCTTGAGGTTTCTTCATTATCGTCAATGGTTTTTTCTGTTGATTGGCCCTATGCCATGAAACTCAGAGTTACAACAAATCCTTAGATTCCCCGCCACCGTGAACTAGTGTCCGGTTTGCTATAATAAGCGTGTCCTTGAGCTGCACCTGAGCGCTTGGTTCACCCTCAAGTTCATCGTTCCTTCCACTGCAATTATAGTTCGAGCGATGTGCAGTGGATTGCTAAACAAGCTGGTGCTGCTGTTATCATTCTCGATCAGCAGGGCACATGGTGTGTGTGTGTGTGTGTGTGTGTGCGCGCGCGTGTGCGCGCGTGTGTGTGTGCACGGTACATGGTGTGTGTACATTGTGCATGTGCATGTGTACGCATGGTGCAGGCACCCAAGTCCTCTAAAGCAAAAGCGGAGCGGGAGCGGAAGAAGCTAGAGGAGCAGCAGCGGCTGGCTGCTCTGGAAGGTTAGACAATACAAAGAGATCATGTCAACTAACAATCCGGCTTACTTACTAAACTGCAATATTGAAGGGATGCTCAATATGCATCATGTTATCCATGCACTGGTAAATGACAGTGAATGCACGATGTGTGATGCAGAAGTCAACCCCCATTGATGTAATGCTAATCAGCAAGCACATGTGTGCATAGTTATTACCATGATGCTGCAAGCAAGATGTTATACGATGCTTTTTCATCATCATTTGAGATGTCTCGTAATCGACGATGGAGGTCGATATCAAACTGGCTTGCCATTCCACACAAAGAATATTATGATGTTTTCATCGCATAACCAGTACATTGGTTAGACTGGTTGCACTCCTGTGTGGGTGCATGCGCGCTATGTTGCTCGTGTTTCATTGAGTGGCTACTGCGGAGAGATCTCGTAACATATGCATAATATATGTGTGCGTGTTTGCGTGCATGTGTGTGTGTGTGTGCATGCGTGTGTGCATGTGTATGTTCGGTGCGGTGCATGCATGTGTACGCGTCTGTTCCCGGCATTACTGCACAGCGGAGAGGTTGCAACAGGAGGCCGAAGAAGAGGCGCGTCGTCTTGAGCAGTTGAGAATTGAGGAGGAAGAGCGTCAGAAGCAGCAGGAAGAGGTAAGATGAAGTCAGTTGTGCAGCAGCTCAGGCCCGGCGGAACCGGTCCGGTTGGTCAGGCCATTACATGGCCGGACCAACTTTTTGGCCACCAGCTTGTGTTTACTGCTGAGGAGGGCATCATCATCATCATCATCTGCGTTGCCGAAAAAATAATAATAGTAAAATTTAAAAAAATAATAATAAACGGCATTATGCAGCTGTGTAAGCAGTAGATGCACAGTGCGACTGCCAGGCATCTCTGTCAGATGCCAACTGGCAATTCTCATGTAGAGACATACCAGGAGGAGGGCATGCCTACCCGGTATATCCTCACAGAGGATGAAAGGCCAGGGTATGGCCGGACCAATCTGAAACTGCTCCCCCCCCCCCCCCCCCCCCCGGTCCTGGTGCTGCACAGGTCCTTTGCTCATCACATCGACTTCCGTGACTTGGTCATATCGTATTGTTTGATTGAGCATTGCCAACTTAGTTCAGCCTGATCCTTCGTGACTGGAAATCTGTACTCCACACAACATGCGGCTATTATGTGTGCGTGTGTCATGTTTGCTTGAAGAGAGAGCGCCGTTTTGCAGTTGAGCAGGAGCCGTTGAATATGCTGCTGATCGAGCGGAGCATCAACTTGCCTATCGAGCGGGAAAAGGTTGCGGAAGAGGTCTTGGTACGTGTGTACTTGGCAGCTGCGTATGAGCAACTGATCAGCAGCTGATGTTTGAAACTTTGAACCCATGCATGTTGCCGCCTGGTGTTGTCCACAGTCATTTACATGCAATCATCGGAAGTGTCCGGTCTTATCCGAGTGACTGATCTGATGTGACTGCCCGTGACGCTGATTTGTTCGTATCACAAGTTTCCCTGAACCCACGTCATGTGCTGTCTTGACTCGTGAGCCTCTCGTGCACGTGTGCATGTCGTATCGTTTTATGCCATCGGTATATGTGCATGAGGGGTGGTCTTCAGGATAAACCTCCCCACCCCCACACACATGCATGTAGCTGTAATAAAAATGTTAACTTTTCACAACGCATGTGCACACTGACACATCTAGTAAAGATGTTGAACTTCGCCTGTTTGTATGCACATGTATATCGACTTCACAGTGGAAACGCTTCTTGGCGTGCGATCCGGCAGTTGATGAGACATACGCCAAGGGACTAAACCGCTACGTGACGGAATGGAAGGACATGTCGCAGGACAGCAAGGCCGGCCTTGGGGACACGCTCAAAGAGTGGCAGGACGCATATCAGGTCAGAGTAGTTCTTTAGAAAAGCGATCCTGGCACGGCTTTTCTATTATTGTAGTTTGTCTTCTGCATTGTGCAGTGTGGGCCTGCGGGCAAGACATACTCCTCTGACTCATTAGTTGCAGGGATGTCGGACACGCTACGGTCACTACACTACACTACGGTATTGACGGTGCCACTCCGAGTTTGCCCCAGGTACGCCGGGAATCAATCAAACACGCTGATTTGGGCTCTAACTTTTGAAAACATGCCAGCAGAGCCACCCCAGCGGCGAATCCAGCGATCTCGGCTACAGGGTGGTTCCAGTAAAGTCAAAACTGAATAGCTGATACATGTATATACATGCACACGCATCATGCATGGTGTCCAGTAGTACATTTACACAATTTAGGGGGTTCCGCGGAACCCCTCCCGGATCCGCCCCTGCACCCCTCCCGACAAGTCAATTGTGCCTAAGATGGCTGACCTTACCACCCTAAATTACCTTCCAACACCCCTGAAGGCTGAAGCTGCATGTCTTTGGATGTATGCATCAGCTATGAACTGCATGAGAGCAACTCTATACGTATGCCAGGGCCAGCTGGGGAGTTGCGATTTGCCCAGCAGCTGGAATGGGCCATTGTGAAACTATATCTGTGATCCTATTTGAACTATCTTTGAATTGCGAGGAAGCAAGAACTACATTATATGCTGCAATAGCATGACGACATAGACAGGTTGATGGTTCTATAACTAAATGATCACAAATATGCCATATTGCCATCCACAACCACTTTTTAACCAGCTTATTATCATCTTTGTCATGAATGCTCAGCTTCTCGCTAGAATGGAACAGCATCGGAAGACGCTGGAGGAAGAGTTTGAAATCCAGCACTATCTAGAGGTGAGGAGCAGTGATGTAATGCATGACATCATACATTCGTAGTCCGCCGTAATTTCGTAATGTTGGACACGGTAGTGAATTCAGGGTATCAAAATGCTGGTGGCATGCATAACCCGAGATGTTGCTGGTGCTGTTGGTGTTTCTGGTGCTGGTGGTACTGGCTGGTGGCTGCATGGTGGAGGCGGCGGCGGTGGCTGCTGCAGTGGCAGCGGCTAGCGGCAGTGATGGTGGTAGTGATCGGCAGGGGACTAGTGACTCAAAGTATTGTTTTCTTCCGTCATACTGCTGTGTTTTTGAGCTTTGTCATGTTTTCAATACATCTCCAACCCCTAACACACGAATTACAGCGGAGGGCATCATCAGGGATGATAATGCCCTCCTGGGTGAAAATTTGGAAACAATCGTCATAATAATATTATTATGTGGTGTAGGCTACTAGCCGAGGACTGTTCGTGTGTTACAGGTTGGAGGTACTGTAAATATACAAATTTTCGGCAGCCACTTAATTTCGGCTATATTCGGCACCGACCCAAAACGCCTAAATTAAAACGCCGATGAAATTTTTCACAGCATCTGTCGCACTATACCATGCCCTCTACCCCACGCCGAAAATAAATCGCCGCCGAAATGTCAAAAATCGTGAAGTGCCGAAATTTTGCAGCGCCGAAATGTTGTATATTTACAGTATAACAGTTACTAATGGCAATGCGGTTTTTTTAAAATACGGGTGACATGTCAGGACATAGGGTATACCAACGCCTAATGATGATTATAACCATTCCTTCCTTATCCACTTGTCATAGAGAGCTGTGCCTCTTGGTGCAACGGTACCACTTGTAGGTAGCTAACTCTGCGGCGCACCTTGGTTTGACATGTCATGCTAGATAAAAGCAAACATCTTGGAGGTGATGAAGACGAAGCTTGACGTGATCGCTCATCAGATGCTGGAGGTGAGGTAGACTGTTCATATCATAATGCCATGGTCAGTTTTCTGTACACGGTGCAACTCCGGTATAACCAAGAGTACATAACCCCCAAGAGTGTGCAACTCCAGCTATGGGGTCTGCGACGTGCGTGTGTGTGTATATGTGTGTGTGTCCATTGTTTTCACTCGCCATGTTCACGTGTGCAGACATCGGAGCCTCACATCAACAGGCAGACGTTCAACCTTGAGAAGTCGCACGCCGTCAAAGACATGGTCTACCACTTGTGGGGCAATACGGCCAAGAACCCAAGGTCAGTTGCAGCAGGGATTCTGCAATTGGCCTAAGTTAGCTGGTGAATGGAACATTTCTGCAGTTGTGCCCGGCCGCACTGGGTCTACTGTAAATGCGGGAACCTTTGCGATCTGGAATCCTTCGCGGTTTTCGCGGTGGGTGTGGACTTGCAAAAGTAAGCCGGCGCGAAACGTAGAACTATAGTGAAGAAACTGAGAAAATTGACTCCAATCGCAAACGTCTCCAGGTGCTAAATTTGTCTATGCTCGCAAATCGCGAACTAAAACCGGCGCAAACGTTTCTGGGCTTGCAGTAACTGTATGTACTTCAAAGTAGCACAATATCCGTACATGTCACGCAGAGGATGGTCGGTTTGGCCAGATGCACTACATTACCATCTGATGTCGCACACCGTCGGCAATGGGCTGGTACAAGCATGTTGTTAATGCACTGCTTCGGTCTGGAACGTTCAGGTTCTTGGGTTGATCCAGTATGAATGTGCAAGGTTGGATTCAAACTGATAATTATAGTGTTGTGATTACGACGAGCCTTTTTTAGTTGTGTATAAAGATTACCCCTTAGGAGACATGCATGGAGGTTTTGTGCGCATCATTAGAATCAGAAGAAAAAAGCGGTGGAAGCCTGCTCTGCAGCTCTCTTTCATGGTCATTCTTTTATCTCCCTTTCTCTCCTCTCCCCCCCCTCTTTTCTCTCTCTCTCTCTTTCTTTCTTTCTCTCCTCTCCTCCCTCTGTTCTCTCTCTCTTTCTCTCCTCTCCTCCCTCTTTTCTCTCTCTCTCTCTCTTTCTTTCTCTCCTCTCCTCCCTCTGCTCTCTCTCTCTCTCTCTCTTTCTCTCCTCTCCTCCCTCTTTTCTCTCTCTCTCTCTCTCTCTCTCTCTCTTTCTCTCTTTCTCTCTCTCTCTCTCTCTCCTATGTGATTTGCAGGCTGAAGAACATAGAGATGGGTAACCGCACTCGGATGCCGGTCTCAGTTAGCGTTCCGAAGGAGTTGGCCCTGGCTAACTTTGCAGTGCGGGTAATCTACACGCATGTTGACACTCTCTCACCAACATGCTCCACGTTTCGCATGGGAAAGCCTAAAGCACAGAGCATGGACACCAATGTCAGCGCTGACGTTCCCGCTGTAAGTCACCAAGTGTGCTCATGTACTATCTTCAGTTAAGTAAACATTATCATTAGGACAGCTTGAAGTAGAATGACCCCCCTTGATGTGTACAGTGTACTACTTCATGCTGCTCTTCTTACGTCGTACTGACTTGCGTCGGTACTTATGCATTCTTGTACATCATGACGTATTCTTTTCTGCTGTACCTGATTTAGCCTGTCGTGCCTGCGTGCGCAAGGCATGCGATCTCTTTTGTTCCTTAGTTCTTTCTTGCTGTTTTGTGCGGAAAGGAGCGTAGTTTTGATGGCTCCTTTGCGTTTGTTCTTATTCATTGTATTAACTTTCGGTATGTAATAATAATAGTCTAATTCTCCCACAAGCTACACCCGGGTACCCACCCCCACCCATCCTGACCTGTGTGACATGTACCATGTTTCCATCGAGTATTTGGCCGTAGTAGATCAGAACACTTTCCCCACACTCTGGCGTAGTAGTGGATATGCATCCATGGTGGAACCTGTGCTGTTGGTTATCTCTTTCACACTGCAGGGAAGTGGCTCCTTGGAAGGAGAGGGAGAGGGCGGTGGCGGTGGTGGTGGAGATGTTGCCGGTTCCAAGGCAGGCAGCAAGGTGGCGCTGGATTCACGGTCGACCACGTCACTGACCGCAAAGACGGCAGACACAGGCAGTAAGGGAGCAGCAAAGTGGGTGGCATGGCATGCCCCCCTGTCTGGCCGGCATCCCATCCTGGCCGAACACGGACAGTTTGAACTTTGAACACTAGCTCAGCAGGTGTTTTGTCTTGTTGGATTTGCTCAACTGTGTGCCAGAATACTGAACGAATACACAGTTTAGGCTACACATAGGGCATACTGGATGAGAAGGCATAATTCCCAGCTAAATGGGATCCTGTATGAACGTGTATTGATTGAAGATGCTAACTTTGCCTTGCTCAATAGCTTTTGTGTGGCCACTGCATCCTTGTCAAAAGCAGACATCTGGAAATTGTCCAGTAAAGCGAGCAATATGGTGTTTGGTTGTGCTGTGCATCAATTTTATGTAGAGCCCGAAAGTACTCGCTCAAGCAGACCTAACGAAGAGAAAAGACCGGACAGCGCCACCTCAAACACATCCAGGGATGCTGTGGAGGATGATGACGACTGTGAAGGCGACGAGGAAGGCGGAGATGGCGCCAAAGAGAAACCGTACGATCCCGACTTTCCAGACTATGAGCCAAATGAGGGTGCTCTCTCAGACGACGAGCATGCAGTCGATCTGCGTGCCTTTCAGCAGGTCGGTGGCGTGTTTTACTTCGATATTCTGCAACTGCCTCCTCAGCCAATGGTCTGTGGACAGTGGACAATGCAAGAAGGTAGGTGAACGCCGGCAAGTCCGACTAACTGGGCATTCCTCAATTAGACCCTGCCATGTGCCAATGGAGTTTGGAATGATGTTTGTTCTGTTGCGAAAACCTGGATTTCTTGTAACGTAGCACTATGCGTGTTGTGATGCTACATGCGTCACCCTTACGCTTGCTCCTGCGTCATTAAGTTAGATTTGTACAGTGTTGCTTCCAATACGATTTATCCGTACCCATTGTACTGTCCGTTGTATACATACCTGTGTAGCAAGGCGCTATCATGTATGTACATTTATGTGTGTTTCTTTCTGCTTGTCGGTCGGTCCGTCTATCTGTATGTCTGTGTGGATGTGTATGGCTTTTCAGTAAGTTGGAGGTGTCAGTCAAACATAGCTGGCAGATCCTTGATCAGTCCCGTTTTCATGCATGTGTGTGTGTGTGTGTGTGTGTGTGTGTGTGTGTGTGTGTGTGTGTGTGTGTGTGTGTGTGTGTGTGCATGTGTGTGAGCGTATATCTGTGTGTGTGCATGTGTGTGTGTGTGTGTGTGTGTGTGTATGTGTGTCACGTGTATCTGTGTGTGCATGTGTGTATCTGTGTGTGGTTGTGTGTGTGTGTGTATATATATATGGGCATGTGAATGTGTATGTGTGTGCTTCAATGGCACCCTCACTGACATATGGGTATGCAGTGCTCGAAGGCGGTCTCCGCTACACTACATATCCGCTGCCGGACCTTAAGAAGACAGTGGTGCAAGACGACGACGAAATATCTGAAACGCCAGCTCCAACGGCACCAGAAAAGGAAGTTGAAGAAATAGAGATACAGTTCAGGTACATTCACTGATAAGAGAACCCAGCCTGCACATTTGAAAGAGATGTATGGAGAAGCGTTTGACTTGTCTGGGTGTTGTGCTTGCAAATGTCCTATCCTGAAGTGGGTCAGTCCAGGAAGAGATTCTTCTTCTGGAAGTGCACTTACAGTTGTGAACACTTCCATCAGTTCTCCATCCCATACTTACAGTTCACTGTTCTAGCATAGGGTAGGCTGTGTACTGCACGATGAGTTCTGTCCTGATCTGATGCTTAGACTTCATTGGTCTTTCGCTGCCTTGCTTGAATCTGGAGACTGTCTTCTAAGTTTTTACCCTTCTCTTCCTTCTTCGCAGAGCTACAAAAGAAATGTATTTGCAAGATGCCAAGGTTGCTCGATGGGATTCATCTCGGCTCTGCTGGCGCACCGACGAGATCAGCGACATGGTCATCAAGGAGAAAAACGGCGAAGTCTCCTTCAAAACTGTTCACGTCATGCCGTTTACACTTTTTCAGGTATGCTGGTTTTTCCAACACAACACACTGCGGAACTGTTCAGTTTGTATGTGGATGTTCTGCTGTGGCTGCTGGGTTCGTACAGTATTCAAGTCTGTATTATGTGTACGTGTACATGTACATGTGATGCAGATTTGGGTGACACGCTGGAAATCAGTTTCCCCGCGTGCACACTGTGCATGTGGGGACAGGGTGCCCCAAATACTAGTAACTCTAGTGTGAGCAGCGGGTGCCAAACCGGGATACCAAGAACAGATCTCGTTGTATCTCTACAGCACTTGTATCTTGCATTGTAACGAGATGATGATAACAACTGACCTACAGTCTCTTCTCCGGTGTGGCTTAAAAGCTGCGATGGTATAGACGTTCTTCGCAGAGCAGGGCGTCGCTTATACGCTCAGCTCCATTTCCATATGAACACGTCACTGGTTTCAATGTTCTCCGCACTGCTTTGCAGAGTCGTTACTCCAGTCTGCCCATCGAGTACTGGGACGTGCGACCCATCGACGACGGCCAAGTGCTTCTCACTATCTGTGCGAGGACTGTCGAGATGGACATCATTGTCAAGGTGAGAGACATGGCAGTTGCTGCGAGGGAGCCAAGCTGCTGACGGTGCGCCTCCAGTAAGCTGTTGAATGGTGTAATCCAAGCACAAGTTGCTATGTCTAACATAGCTGTTCGGTATCATCGCTTCCGCGATGGGCAGGTCTGTGGTCGGAGTAAGATGTACATGTAATGCCTGAAAGACTCTCACAACATACAATTTCATAGGCAAGGTCACGCGGCTGCCCACACCGGAGCTCGCGTGTTCAGTTGACGGAAAAGCACGAGCTCCGGTGTGGGCAGCACCTTCCTACGACTCTCAAACAGCGAATGATTATGTATCGGTGTGGGGTCAGAGTGGGGTGTGGAGTTGTGGGGTGGGGCATCACGAGTGGTTTATGTTGTCAATGAGCGTGTGTGTGTGTGGGGGGGGGGGGGGGTCAGAGGACAGAGTGGTCCTTGCTCACTCGATCAAGGATCATGGCTGTGCGAGAAGTTGTGGCATGTGCATGCAGCTGGCCTGTAGTTTTGATCAGAGCTGGCTTGGATGCAGGCATACAACACATCTTCCTTTCCTATCTTCTAGGGACATCAATGCAAGATTCCTAAACTTCCCGACATTGTTGACAGCAAGGGCAAAGACAAGGGTACTGACGAATCACAGCAGGAGAAGGATATTCTGGAACATTTCCGAGAGCGGTGGATGATCGTGGATGAGTTCCAGGAGGTAAGCTGCTACGGCAACACGGCCAGTTGGGTTCCCCGGCATGTGGGTGCCAGGGTGGTGGTGTCCTCAGTTCCCCATGCATACACTGAGCAAGCACAGCGGCACACAACCAGTCAGTAGAGTAGCAGGGAAAAGAGACCTTGAACCAGAGCATGTGTAATATGTGTATTTATACTAAGACCGTACGATACTCACTATTCGTATTTCCCGCTCCTTCACCATAGCAACGAGAGCCAAGCAAGTATAGAAGAGCGCATGCTCCAGTGGTTCTCTAGAACACATGCACACTCACCTACCTGGGTACTGGGGCACAATCACCCAAACCCGAACTCCGGCCCGAATGAGGCCTTTTTCTTACCCACTCCATCTCTATTGAAAAAGTAATGTTTGCGGGGCAGGAGCTCCTGTTTAAACTCCCCGCTACACACATTTATGATACATGGCTCCAGGACACGGATTGAGTAGCCCTCAAAGTCAAAGCTCTCATTACTGCACTCAATCTCAGGCCCAAGGTTGTATCCACATCCGGCACTGACCTAACCTCTACCAGATTTGGTTTAGAAACAATAGTTCCTGTTTGTTTGTTTTGTTGCTGAAGAGACTAACAAGGGCTGGCATAAACATATTTCCAGAAGAGGACGGCCATAAATACACAGAAGTTGTCAGAAAGGTGCGTACTCGAATGGGTGTGAGGGACCCACATAAGTTATGGCTCACGGTTGTGTCACGATGCCTGTGTGCATATGAGTGTGTGTGTGCATATGAGTGTGTGTGCATATGAGTGTGTGTGCATATGAGTGTGTGTGTGTGTGTGTGTGTGTGTGTGTGTGTGTGTGTGTGTGTGTGTGTGTGTGTGTGTGTGTGTGTGTGTGTGTGTGTGTGTTCCCGACGATTATGGTCACATACGTCTTTCTTCTCTTTCTCAGACTCTTCCTGACTTTTCTTTCATTCTCCTGGGTGGTTACCAACAGCCAGTGTATGCCGGAGTATGTGGTGTGGTGTGTGTGTAGAAAAAGAAAAGAAAAAAAGAAAAAAAATGGAAAAATGAAAAATAGGGATTCACTGGCCAGAAAAAGTCACTTCAAACAGCTGTGTGGTGGATACCAGGCTAAAAATAGTGGCGGTCAATTCATCAGCCTTGCAAGCTGTTGAATGGTGTAATCCCAGCACAAGTTGCTATGTCTAAAAAACATAGCTGTTCGCTATCATCGCTCCCGCGATGGGCATGTCTGAGGTCTGAGGTGTGTGTGTGTGCATATGAGTGTGCGTGCATGCACTACTCTGGCGTGTAGAATGCAAAGAACACTTCTTAATCCCGAGAGTAAGGGTGTAACTTGCACACTACTAGTAACAAATAGACGGTGCCTATACACGTTGCCATTCAAAGTGACTTGCCCTATATTGTTGCACACTCTGTGCGCTGTCACTTATGCACCCAAGGGAACTGAACCAAAGAAAATGTTGACCATTGATACAAATAAGAAATACAGAGTCCTACACTAGTCGAATTACTTCTCAATACTCAGGTTAGTAGTACTTGCCCATTTATTCTCTCTCTCTCTCTCTCTCTCTCTCTCTCTCTCTCTCTCTCTCTCTCTCTCTCTCTCTTCCCGTCCCACTCTGAAACATGCAGGCCCGTGCCATTGAGGATTTGATTTACCATCACGCTGCACTGTTGTCACCTGCATTTTCCTTGGCTTCGTCGAGTAAGAATGGGAAGTTTGACAGGAATGTGGCGGTGATCAAGGTCTCAGAGTCCGGTGGTGATGAGCGTATACCCGATGTAAGTCGAGGTGCATGATGCCATGTGTCAACGGTCCATGATGCATTTAACTGGGCTGTTTGTTGACGCCGGGAAATATTTTTATTAGTGCTGCAACGGGTAGGAGTTTGGTTGGGTAACTAGTTCGGTTATTTCTATCCGGGTAGCAGGGGTACCCTATCGGGTATTTTTTGACATAGCTTGCACAGCGAGTGTGCATTTGCACTACATAGAAAGTGTACAGTAAGCACATAGCCGTGCTTTTAACGTTACTCGAAGTACATGCACCTTTGCGAAAACACCATACTCCAACTACCCGATCGGGTTCTCAGGAGCAAACTGCTACTCGAACACCCGTTCTAATTACGGGTAGCACGGGTACCCAACTACCCGATGACACCCCTAAATTTTATTTTCACCAATTTAGCTCTTTATTACTTTGTCGATAAGGATATCTTTCCACTGAGTCAATGGCCGGACTTTTTTTGAATTTCACTGGCATGCAAGCAGCAATGTACTGTCCTTTGTGGCTACGGGTTTGTACAAAATTAGGACAGGTACACCATGTCTTTTTTAAATGTGTGGAGTAGCAGGTTCCAAACCCAGAATTTTCGAGTTCTAAATTGTTAAATGAAGTAGTTTTTTGAGCCTTCGTTCGACCAGAATCAGACTTTCACACGCCAGAAGTACTACTTGACATGAATGGACTGAAGGCTCAGTACAAGTAATACATTGTGGAGGCTTTCAACAATGAGTCAATGACTTACTTAAGGAGGTTATGGACTACTGTTGATGTTCAGCTCTGTTTTCTGACGACTTTTTTTATTTTTTTACTTTGCCTAGGAAATGTGGACCCTATTTGCCGTCCAGGACGATTGCACCTGGCAGTTGAAGATGAGAGAAGAGGAAGAAGCTGAACCCAACTTGGATGTTGCCGACCAGCAGGATGTAAGAACGTGCTTTAAAAACAACCGTGCATGGTACTGGGACTATTAGGACATTGGGACCAACAGTATTAAACAACGTTTAAGTACAGGTTTCCGCTCGTCAATAGTTAGACACGCTATGTAGCGACAGATCCGGCAATAGACGACCAAATATATAATTGAGCTTGAACGAGCGGATGAATGTTTTGTTATGACGGCTACCAAATGATTGTTAGTGCCGAAGTGCACAGTGCGTCGTAGTGTGTGGAGTGAACCCAGAGACGGTGTTGTGACTGTACGGTGGTCACTGGGATTGACGGTACTGTATTATCACCGTGATCAAAACTGTAAAGTGTCGACTGGAGGGGGGGGGGGGTCACGAACGCCTGCATTTGCCACTGCTCTCCTCCAACCCAAACATCACCGGGATACCAACTAGCAGTGTTGCTCTGTTTCCAGTGCGAAGAACACCCCGTGAACACCAGGTAACACCAGCGTGAGTTAGTGTTACTACCTACGGAGCGGTGAGGATTGTTGACCATTCATAGCGCTGTGACTCCGGTCATTTAGTGAAAGCCATCATGGGGACTAGAAGATACACTGATGTGTTTTGACAGCAGCGCTGCAATTATCAACACCAGTCAAAACCTCCATTGAAAATGAAGGCTGTTGACCGTTGTGGATTTTGGCGTCTTCAGTTGCCGATAAAATCCATCCGTGTTCTTCTGTTTCTTGTGCAGTTGCATGCCGACCTGTACTGCGCGGTGCAAGCTGTGGCCTCGGCCGATTCAGCTGCTGCAATTGCCGGAGCATCAGCCTTGCAAGTACACACCGTCCACCAGTTGCTTGAGCGTATCCGTCCTCTCGTTTACTCATGATAAGTCAGCAACCAAGATGGTCTTGGACTTGATGAACTTGCCAGGCTCTCATGCCGATATCTTGTGTACGAAAACGTGCTGCGGAAAACACTGGAAGGCGACGTGCGCCTTCAGCCAAATCATTGTACTATACTTGCAAACACGTGTAAGCTTACACATACACAAGCTTCAGTCGAGAACAACCGTGATTGCTTAATTAGAGTATAAAAGGTGGATTCCCTTGAGGGGACATTAAAAAGCACTGCTGGTCCCAAGAGCGCCAAAGCCTCCATTCAGCGTGCACTTCTGGCATTGTTTTTCTTGCATTCAGGTTGCAGATCCAGTAGCATTAGGATTCTATAGCCGAATAGGAGTGCATATCTTTGTGTAAATAAGTTACTTTTTTTTTAAAGTACACCATGCATGCACGAAACAGTACACGCGTGCATTGATGAGAATTTTGTCAGTAACTTGTTTCAACTGTGCCTCACTAGGATAGCAGCATTCTTGAAGCAGTGGCACAGTGCAGTCACGGTAGGGTACCGTACTTGATCAGCTGGAGAGCACCCGCAACAGATTGCCATCATTCGACTAACGCCTAACCGGATAACTTCTCAGTTTACATGTAGTTCTATCAAGAGCCTACAGTGTGAATATGATTGTGTTTTCTACATGACTGATTGTAACGTTTATACTACAGTACTTTGACCTACCTACCTTCCATCCTATTCTGTATTCATTTCGCTGTTGAGTATCTTTATTTGTAGAGACAGTGTACATGTATCATCACAAATGGAGATTCTTGTGCAACCTGATGTCGATAATAAAATTTAATAACGTTCTATCCCCGGCCCCGGGGAAAATTGCGATTCCGCGGCCGCGTTTTTTTCCGCGTTTTTTGCGATTTTTTAAAAGACCACGTTTTCCGCGATTTTCCCGCGTTTTTTGAACTTTTTTGTTGCACTACACATACACACAGTGCACTTTTCGGTCAGCAACATCTCATCGTGGCGGCTTTTTACTCAAATAATGGGTGCTTTATACACCAGAGACTTGTAACTGATTGATTTCACTACATACTCACTGAAAATTGCCGCATTCACCGCATATTTACCGCAAATTCACCGCAAATTATGCCATATTATGCCGCGTTTTCCCCCGCGTTTTTTGCGATTTTTTTCCGCAATTTTCCCCGGGGACAGAACGTTGTACAAATTAATGCACGTGGCTGGCGAAGTGGTCAGAGAGAGAGCGTTGGCCTACAAGAGCTAAACATGAGGTTGTGTGCTCGATTCCCACTTTCAATGAAGAAGATTTCCACCCCAGCAAAAACAATGATCGCAGATTTAGACATTTTACAACACAAAGCGGAGTTGCCATTGACTTGCGAAAGTGGTCAAGTCAGCCCACGAAGAGGAGCCTGCGACACAAGCTCACAGTGGCTGGAAACTGTTTTTTTGTTGTAACTCTGAGTTTCATGGTAATTGAGCCAATCACCAGACAGCATAGTGGATGCTTACAGTACCAAGGAACGTACATGTAGACGTACTCTCGGGAACGACTGTCTATACTTTTGAAGTGCACTGTAGCCTTTACTGTCACTGAAGGGAACAACATCACGAGTTATTACTATACAATACATGTACAAAACGCCAAGAACAAAAACAAACCAAACAAAAGTTCTGATACAACTATTGTGGAATGGGATGGGAAGGTTATGGTTTGGGCAGGTCTCCACGGAAAAGACCATTCCAACACAGCAATTTTCTCAAACTCACGTCCATACACTCATAGTTATCTGTGCAGAATGCATGCGAGAAGTGCATGCTTCACAAGCTTCAAAACATGGCACAATCACCACCAGTGTACCTACATTACACGTATGATGTATGTTCAGTCCATGAAAAGGCAATGGCCCAAAGAACAGTTCAACACCCAGCACACAGCAGCAATGGCACCAAGAGCGTCGATGGGCTCGACAGAATAACTATTATACTTGTTAAAGATATTGCCTAGCACGCTTGAATAAGTACAGGTCTTATGACGGGCTTGACGGAACTATACGTGGTGTAAAAACGAACAGGACGGATGGTTTGAATGAATCACAACAATTACCATTCGCCAAGAACACCACAGCTGAACAGCACAAACGGAAACTCTAACATTCAGATCACAGAGAATGAGTATGGCACATGTTGTGTGCCTGTTGTGTGGTGGCTGGGTGCTGCAATACATGTACATGTACTGCAGTTCACAACACAGGAAGAGGATTAACCCATCTGATCACAGACACAATACGCAGAATGTGGTAAGAAGACTCGCCCACGGCCACACACTGCTTAACATTTGCTATGAAAAATAGGAATAAAATAGTTACCACCTAGAAACTTGTCTGCTCTCTCCGTCTCATACTTCCAATCAGACCTCAATGGAAACGGCACGCCGTGACTCGCAACACGGTAGATAGGGAAATTGAATAGAAAAGACACGACTCAGTCAACCGCAAGATCATTTCGTTTTCTTGGCGTCGGCATGATTCCAATCAACGGGGTTGAACAGCTGCCACGTTTTCTTGTACGTCCAGAATGGCGTCAGGTAGAAGTTGATCAGCGCCAGCTCCGAGTAAAGGAGAGCTCCGAGTGGGAGCGGCATGTCGCTCAGGACAGTCGGAAGGTTCCAGTAGGTCGCCCACCAGATGTACAGCTCCACCGTCGTGCGGCAATGGAACAGGTGAATAAGAATGTGCTGGTTAACACGCCACAGCGTCGTGTCCGCTTTCTTGGCTTTGATCAGCAGCCAGCACACGGCGGAGAACGGTGTCGTCATCTCCAGCAATAGCCCCGCGCAGGCAAAGAAATGAGCCTTTGCGTAATAGACAGACATCAGGAATCCAATCAAAGAAAGTGAATGGTGCAGCGCTAGGTTCCAATCTATAAAGCGGAAGTAGATGTTGGATGCGAACAGTGTAGTGCACTCGAACAGGAAAAATCCAGTCGTCACCATCACCATAAAGTACGATTCTTGTGTTTTGGCATTGACAATGTCAGTATGCAGCTCTGGCTCGCCCAGGATGGTGTGAATTCCACCATAAGCGCCAAACACGCCAAACACCGCTCTAACGATAGAGAGGTGCCAAAACACTTTCTCCCGGTTGCTAAGCCTACGGTAGGTTTCAAACAGCAAAGATAAGACTAGGCAGGCGAGGTAGACACATAGGAAGAATACAAACGAGAACAGCACTGTCGTCCATTGATTCGTCGAGTCTTCCAAGTCCCGATCGCCGATGCAGAGTTTCCGCAGCCAGTCCATTGTGAAGAGTAATTTACTAAACACCTAAAGGACAGTGAGAAACTGGATGAGAGGAACAGCTCATCCAACTAAAAACAAAACGTTATTATTGTAGGTTTATCAAATGTGGGCAGCATGCAGAAAACTTGAAAAGAGGTGCGTGAACCATACCATGCCGGCATGCGCTATTATAATAATATTGCAGGGAGTAGTAAAACAATACCGTAGATCTACGATATTGTGTACGGTATTTACTACAGTAGTACTATACTCCGACCTACAAGTCCTTGCTGGCAACAACTCAAAATGTCTGTGCACCCGCATCAAGACAAGCAACAGTGCAGTCGAGTCCGGACCAGGCCAGGGCCAGGGAGTCGTAAAACCTTCTCTTTTTTTGGTATTTTACGACTCCCGGCCTGGTCCGGACCGTATACATGTACCATCAAGAGTACATAACCCCCCAGAGTGTGCAACGCCGATCCAGCTCTGTGTAGGGTTTTTGATCTTGCTTGGTCGAGCGGAATCGGATCTTCTGATGTCATGCGTACACTTCACACCAGGGAGTCGTAAAAGCCCGGGAGAGGACACGGCACACATTCCCAGAAAACATCTTTGCCTCGCGCTGCCGGGGAACGCTGCCAGGGAACGGTGTTGCGAGGCAAGGAAATTATTATTTTCGAAAATTGTGATGTCTTCTTGAAATACAGTAGAGTCGCGCGCCCAAGAACGTTGTTTCCAAGGGGTTAGCCTGGGATGTTCTTATTTCTCAGCAAGCTGGCTGCGTTCTTATAGCACGATCTTAGAAACAATCCGTACTGGATCAAATGTATCCCATAAGCTGCCAGAAAATAAACACCGCCGTTCTTAGCTTTAGGCTGTGGCGTTCTTAGAATTTCAGGCTGGACGTTCTTGGGCTCTACGTTCTTCAGCGCACGACTCTACTGTACTAATTGGGACATTCTCCGATTTCTCTTAGAGCACGGAGACGATTGCTCCGTCGAGTCTTCTGATCTCTATTTTCATCCTCAATTCTTCCAGCTGCCTCACTCATTCTCTCTCAGTTTATCGAAGTTAATTTATTCTGAGGCGATGGAAATGCAAGATAAATCCCTAATTGTACTTCACTTTTATTTGAGTTGGGGTGAACGAAATGAGATTTGTGGAAAATGACGCCACTTCCCGTGTTAGCCGCTGGTCGTATCATACAGCCCATATTCCATTGCAGGTGATGGGCGAAAGTTCTTGTGGAGATCCGCTGAGCTTCCTCGGCGTACTCGTGGATTTATGAATTTGTGTCAGAAATTGCACTGAAATTGCAGTCGAGTGGACTTCTGTGCGTGTATTGTGAGTGAATCGCAACGGCTCCCTTCCTTCAGCATCGTCAAAACGCAACATAGAGCATTATTACGCACTCGTTCCATGATTCATGATAATGCCTGGATTCTTTTAGAAACAATCAATGTGTGTTCCCTATCTATTTACATTGTACATGGCTGCTGTGCAGGTCGTTATTTATAAATCTTGATAATTTCAACACTTTTCTACTCGTATACTGAGTACGCGGTGACTTGATCGCTCAATTGAGCGTTTAGGAAACGGAAGTCTTGGCGAGTGTACAAAAGGTAAACCTATCATTTGTACTTCATAACGGAATAATAATAATAATAATAATTCGCGGGATTCGCGTTGGCATCGCTTGAATGTTCAGAAACACACAAACTAGCCTTCGCTTCCGCAGGCCACCACTATGCCTATGCCTTGCACACCTTAGTGGCGAATGCAGACCGTACAGTTGTGAGGGTAACAAGGATGCATAACGGAATTGTGCACAAAAATGCACACGCACGTGCGCGCGCACACACACAAACACTGTACAAACACACACAAAAGTACAAGCACATGTGCACAGTCATACACACGCCTCGCCCCCCCCCCCCCCCCCCCCCCCCCACACACACACACTCAACTCCCCACCCCTGTACCATGTGTACTGAGTCTGACAGACATACAATCATGTTTATCCTTCCTTCGCCACCAGTTTCGGATAATGGTGTCAACAACGAGTTGTAAAATATTGGTATTTTAGGACTCCCTGCCCTGAAAACGAGCACAGCGCCGTGGATCGAGCAGATCCGGCCGCGCCGGCCTAGCGTGCTTCACTTTCTGGCCGAGGCAAACATCGTCCGCGTGCGCGCATCCCGTGTCCTCTCCCGGGCTTTTACGACTCCCTGCTTCACACCAGCGCAAGGCCGGTCTCGAGGCAGGGCACCATTGTTTTGAGGTATATTATGTATCAGATTGCAACGACCAGGAGGCTCTTAGTAGTGGCTGCAAATGACCGATATCCGTCACTTGCAGCTCTGCATCAGAGTCCTGTAGCTGGCCTGAAGAGTTGTAAAATTACTCCTTCGTAGCCGGGCGAGTCAGAGCGAGGGCGATTCACGCACGGCTTGGTCAAAAAACTGTCGGCCTGGAACGTAAACGTGGATCTGCCGACACAGTTCACCTGGTTCACACGCCTGACCTGGCATGCTGCCTTGCGTGAAAGGAACATTTTTCCGAAAGCAAGCTTCTTCTCCAAAATTCGAAATTTCCTTCCAAAAATGCCGTCGTCCTTGACCTCGAAGCTGAATGTTGTTAGGATAGAAAATTAGCGAAGATGTAGCCGACCCATTCTGGCAAGCCGTGTGCCCTCTGGATATGCAGTTGTTCGCCATGGTCAACAATCTTCTTCTCCTTCGTTCGTACTTTCACTTTCCTGACCACGAATACAAGCGGTACCCATGCTCAGGTTAGTGTTTATTTGTCTGTCTATGCACATACATGTAATACAATGTACTGTTCGTGCTGCAGGCACTGGCCGATCATGGAAATAGAGGAAGCAGCCAGCTTTCTTTGAATTCTCATCCTTTCAACAAAAATATGTACACACTTTCCTTGGCTCCTTTTTCCCACCGCAACCATGCATGCACTGCTTTTCAAATTTGTGTTTGCTTTGGCAGTGGTTTCATGGGCATCCTTCAGCCTTCCCTGGCATTCAAAATTCAGAATAGTTTCCACCCAGGTGCTAGTGCCTCTGTTCTGCTTAGCACATTGTAGTAATATTATTAGGGAGGTTCCGTAGTACGATTTTTCGTGCCAAAATCCGTGGTGGCGCTACGGATTTTTGATACGTCGTTTTCGAGCAGTGAAAAGTTCCGGGGTACGGAACGTATGTGTTTGCCGTCATTGCCTAGGTTACGATCGCAAACACGTCACATTCCCGCGCTATGCCTTTTTATTTTGAAAATTTGTACCGAAATCAAAACTTCCCGCGGAAAATCGATGTTTCTCGTACCAAATTTGCACGCGAAAAATCTTTCCGCACCCGATGACGCAAAATCTCCATACGAAACATGATTCGTATGAAAGCCAGTCCACACGGATTCTCCGTGCCGAAAAATCGTATGGAGCACGCCTGGAAAAAATCCGTAGCGCCCATACGGATTTTGGCACGGAAAATCGTACCCCGGAACCTCTCTATTTGCAACTGTCCACCACTGCACTCTTGGCTCACATTCACCACACCATAGCGAGGAAGTTTGTTCTTGGATAGATGTCTGGAGGATGTAGAGCATCTATCCAAGAACGAACTTCCTCGCTATGGTGTGGTAAATGTGGGCCAAGAGCGCAGTGAGGAGAGGTGGACAGTTTCAAATTATTTAGCCACATCCGATCCTTTCTCCGATAATTATGGACATGTTTTACTATACCGGTATATTGAATGGCCACTCATGCTTCTATTGAGAGGTAACACTATTCAGGAAACTGAGGAAAGCCAACCGGTGTTGCACAGGATTTGAGGTTGGGAAGAAAAGATGTTCCGATAAAAGAACTGCGAGTACATGGGAAACGTATTATGGAAAGGGCAGTCTGAGTCGAACTAGGATCTCCTGTTCCAGAGCGTGAATATGAATAACGTGAAGTCGCGGATAAAAGCCGGGTTTGCATACAAGCACATCGCAGATAGAAGCCTGAAAATCAAACGGGTCGAATGCATATAAGCCCGTCGCGCGTAGAAGCCTTGCTCTATGCAAGCACGGATTGGGTGGGTCAAGAGTGCATGCGCTATGTATGGTGCATAGTCAAACTGCCGCCATACCGGTAGTCAGTGGTAGATCTACGCGTGTCGCACGTAGAAGCCTGGCATACAAGTCTGGCAAAAATATCAGTGGTGCATAATAAGCATGGTTTGCATTAAAACCTGATGGAGAAAGCGGCTTATGTGCTTATAAGCCCGGCTTTTATCCGCGACTTTATGGTACAGTAGAATGCCGATATTCCGAACAATCACTTATTCGAAATGCCAGTTTTCATATTGATGAGCTAGAGTGTGTCTAGTTCCTGTGAAGAGAATGTGAGAAATGATGGAAACGTGAAGGAATGTGCAAGTCTTAGATGGATGTGTGACTGCTCCGTTATCCGAATTTTTCCCCATCCGAACCCCCTGGAGAAAGCGTGCGCCCGAGGGGTGCGGATAATCTACACTCTGCTGTAACAGTTATGTACAATGCGTGCCGGTGCACATTGGACAACGTTGCAAATGTAGAATTGTAGGTGGACTGTGGTTCACATTAGACGATCGGAGTACCCCCACCAAACGAAGAGAGCTCAACATCACAAGGTAGAGCTTGCATGTACAATCGAAAAAGAGTACATATACCATTTAATAGCTGATGTTGTTAGTGTGCGTTACGAAGTCTGAAGAAAATGTTGAACGATCTCGGCTGGGATGACGGCTACACCTTAGCTCAGTGATTAGAGCATCGCTGGCCTCAAGCGAAGGTCCCTGGTTCGAATCCTGGTGGTGACAGTCAATTTTTCTTCAGACCTTTCCCGTTTGTGCCTTTCCCTCTAAAACCAGTGAATATTACTGTTAGCTTCGTACTTTGAGTGATTATCACTTACAGTTACATATACAATGTACTTGATAATTTCTTAGCGCATGATAATCGGAGTCAGTACCACAATATTCCTCCCTCACTATATGAGTCTAGATACTTTGAATGTGGAACAGGGTCCAGGACAGGATCGTCTCCTCTATCCAAATTATGGCCTGGTTGCAATTTGTCTATTTACCAGCAGGTACATACTAGGGAGTCATAGCACCTACACTGTAGGGAGACTACACAATACTTTATAGAATTTTGGATCAGGATTTGGAGGTTCTCCGTGATCTGTGCAACCCGCGATCACGGCCTTGACCTACTG